AAATGTAGTGCAATCCTGAGCACATCTGCTTATTGTCAATTGAAGTGTGTAACTTTAATTGTCTACTAGATCATTTTGATTACTTCCTTTTGGCAGTACCTAGTTCTTTAGCGATCTTAACCATAGACAATTCCATTGTTTGTATATGTTTTAAAACATTTACAGACTGGCTATCCAAATAATCATGTATTATTTTTTATGTTAGTTGTTGTATTTTTTCTTGACTTCATTTGTCCTGTTCACTGATACTGCATGCTGACAGCACAATCTCGTGCATGTTTACTTAGGTAAGCCCAGCTTATTAAATGGGCTTATTCCCAGGTAAGTTTGCTCAGAATTCCAACTTAAATTAGAGGTGGGCAACTTGGAGGGTCCCATTATACTTCGCTGCCTATGCTGACTGGGGCTGATTGGAGTTGTTGTCCTCCCAATTTTTTTGGCCTGCAAGTCACTCAGTACTGACCTAATTCACTAGTTTCATCAAGTTTTCTCCTCTAAGATTTCTTCCCAAATTGAAGCCATTAGAAAGAAACCATCTGTGTATTTGTATAATAAGGAATGTTTTCCAAGTTCACATTACTTCACTAACATTGGGTTGGCCATTTTGTTCTGTTATCCAGTGCAAGGAGAGTTGAATAGGTCAAAACTCTTGAGTTTTACAGGACTCAACAAGCAGCTTTTGGTTTACCACTCTTGAATACTTTAGTATTATTTGCTGCCTTAATAAGATTACTGTAACATTATCAACTCCAAGGTAGCGGACAATATCTTACCCCTTTTACCATTGCTTATAAATAATTTACACACACTGGATACTTTTTAGAAGTAGACATGAATAAATTAGACCCTTTTTACAAGTTGTATAAATTGTAACTGGGTGCAGTATTTTCTCTTTTGGAATGATCTGGATCATTTTAGTTTCAAAAGGTTAAAAATTAACAAACTTTGAAAGGGCCTTAAGCAGTTTATTTAGAATATGCATATGCTGCTTTCTGACCCTGTCAGATCTTCCAAGGTGGGATATAAAAATCTCTTTTATAAAAATATAAAAATGGACCAATCCAAATCTACAACAAACTAGTGTAACCAGTTACTAAGTCATTATGAACTAAGTGATTAAAAGCACTGTTTGACTTCTGGTTTATATTTATGTTTCAGTGCCATTCTCTCATCATACTTTTTAAATGAAAAGCTTAACCTACATGGAAAAGTTGGCTGTTTGCTAAGTATATTGGGTTCAACAGTGATGGTCATTCATGCACCCCAAGAAGAGGCGGTAGAAACTTTGAATGAAATATCCAGCAAGTTAGGTGATCCAGGTGAGCAAATACGATCTTCACTATAAAGTACCGTGGGTACAAGAAGAAGATATGTCTTATTTAATAGTGTGCAATGGCAGACTGTAGAAGTGAATAGTTAAGATGAATTAGCTTTATATCAGCCTGTGAAAACTAGATGTAGGTATAGTTTCCAGCTGTTTAAGAACTAACCGCTATTAGGATACATTTGTGCTTTACGAGGTAAAGTAATGGACTATTATGTTCCTTGAAGCTTGCTGCAAGATTTGCCCTTCTGTAGGGTCTCTATAGCTTTACTGCCATCATCATATGATGCTGAACAACTTCACACCAGGCCCAACACTATCCACAGTTCTAGAATGCATTTCACTAAGCTTTATCATGAGTCAGTATAAATTTAGCTGACAGATAGCATTGACAGACCCGCAGGCATTCTTACAATATCCCATGTACAATTGTTCTGAAAAGTTGAGTTTTGCGGATTCTTCTTAAACATATTAAGTTTCTCAAGAAATAAATCTGCTGTAGAAATTGTTGTGACCACTCAGGTCTTCAAAGTAACTGTTTGAATCTTAATTATATACAAGCTAAAGTTTTGTATTACCTGAAATAGTAGCACTGGTAGAGAAGAAATTGTAGAGCAGCCTTTGCCAACTGGTGTTCTCTAGGTATCTTGGATTTAGAGTCTCATCAGCCTCAGCTAGAATGGTCAATAGGAATATTAGGAGTTGTAGTTCAAACCCTCTGGAGAGGCAGCAGGCTGGGAAATGCTATTTTACATCAGCAACTTGGGCATAGCAGGGCTGTTTCTGCACTGTGTTTCATGCCTTTGATTTAGATCAGTATGCTTACTAGGGGTTTTTACTCCTAGAATGTGTGTTTTATTGCTCCCTTTGAGCCAACCACAGCTAATGCATGCCATTTCTTTTAATATTGCAGGTTTTGTGGTCTTTGCAACATTTGTTCTCATTGTGTCCTTGATAATGATATTTGTGGTGGGACCACGACATGGGCAAACCAACATTCTTGTGTACATAACAATCTGCTCAGTCATTGGAGCTTTGTCTGTTTCCTGTGTAAAAGGCTTGGGCATTGCTATAAAGGAACTTTTTGCTGGAAAACCTGTGCTAAAACATCCTTTGTCCTGGATTCTGCTGCTAAGCCTTATTATCTGTGTTAGTACACAGATCAACTATTTAAATCGAGCCCTGGACATATTCAACACTTCTATTGTGACACCAATCTATTATGTATTCTTCACCACATCTGTTCTAACTTGCTCTGCTATCCTTTTCAAGGAGTGGCAGCACATGGCGGCTGATGACATTATTGGCACATTTAGTGGCTTCCTCACTATAATAGTGGGAATATTTTTATTGCATGCCTTTAAGGATGTCAACTTCACCCTAGCAAATTTGCCTGTGTCTTTACGTAAAGATGACAGAGGAATAAATGGCTGTCTGCCAAATGCATACGAACGCTTTAATCATGATGAAGAAAGTGTAACCCGTGTAGGAGAGGTTCAGTCCACTGATGGAATATCTTCTAGGCGAAATGGAAACCTGGCAGCACCTTAAAAATACATTTTAAGAAAAGAGCAAGTCTGTAACTGTGTTTCATTGTGAAATGTAAATTTTGAATTCTTCTCAAAAACAAATGTATTTAAACAATATGTATAGACAATCGTGGTTTTTTTTAGGTTTGACTAGCTTGGACCAAGAACAGTGGTGAATTTTTATTTGCCTTACTCCTCCTTTAAAAAATACTAAAGGACCTCAAAACTTTTTTTGCTTAAGTTACATGTGAACATGTAAATATTCAACTTTGGTTTAAGACTTATTGCACTAATAACAATTTTAACAAATAAAATACTTTATTTCTGCATGAGTGAGTGCTCAATTGATTGACACTAAGAAACTGTTGTTATATCACTTACTGAATTATGTAGACCTTGTTTTGAGTACCTGTAATAGTTCTTAACCAGTATTCAATCTGGCACACCAATTACCTTTATTGAAGTGCATCTAAAGTTTCATTCAGATGAAGAGGAATATCGCAGTATGTTGGTGAACCAAACATTTCTGTGAAGGCTGATGAAAGACTCAGTAACGTCACCCAGTGAGTTCATGAGAGGCAAGATTAGAATATCAGAATTCAAACCATGGCTTGCCCTGATGTGTTAACACACCATGAAAATCACTCTTGTGGAGATGCTACCTTTCATTATCACAATGGGTGTCTTTGCCTTCGCTTTCTTTCCATCCTCTCCATTAGGAATTCTGGTTGAATAGGGAGGTTTCTCCCACTACTTCCCAGAGCTACAGCCACATCTAGTAGACTTGGTGCAACCTCAGAAAGAAGGACAGAAAAAATTAAGCATACTTCATCTTTTGCTATCTAAAGCAGAGAAACTCTTGTTACAGAGACTACAGTGAGTGTTTTGGCATTCTAGTCAGAAGCTTAGTGCACTACAGATGTTTTGGGACTGATAACTCCCACTAGCCCTGAACAACAGCCATGTTGATGGCAGTTGTAGTCCAAAATAAATAGAGGGCACCAAACTGCCTACTCCTGCATTACAGGCTTTAGTCTACTGGGAAGGACATGAAGTAAACAATGCTTTCCCTTCCTTATAGAGATAACTTGCATTCATTTACTAAGGGGAAAAAAAAGAGAGCGCGAAGGAGCACAAATGAATGAAAACATGAATTGCCACTCTTAAGATGTGAAAGGGGATGGGGCTATGTTGTGTGGTTGTAATGCAGCATCAAATCAATAGTGCTGATCATTTCTGTTTAATCTGTTCTGGACAAGCTTTTGCTTCAACTGCAAAATCAGTACAGAACGGGTCTGAAAAGATGAGGAAGGAAATAATTTCACAGCAATATGGAGTGGATACTCTAAAAAATAAGTGAGCAAAGCGTATCTGCTCTGTTACAATAATGGACCAGTGGTTTTGTGCATTCTGCAGTACAGTACTCCTAATTATAACACAGAACAGGATACCAAAAACAGCCTTACCCTACATTAGAAAAATGCTTTAAAAACTTATTTTAATATGCGATTACAGTAAACAGAAGACTATTAAAAGATAGATGTGGGGAAAGTGAAGGAGACACGTTTTCAATTTTAGCATGTAGACATTAGATTCTGGGCAATGTTGGCTGTACTGTTACTGCAAGTGTCAGTTACAGTGATGAATGCTGCCACTTCTTGCCACCAGAACTCAGGCAAAGATGCACAGGTGGAGAACATGTGGCCTTCCAGATGTTACACCTAACTTCCATCAGTTCTAGGCAGCAGAGTCAGTGGTGAAAGGATGGCAGGAGCTGCCATTCAACAGTTTTTTAAGGATTAAAGTTTCCCCATTCATGACCTCTAGGACTTAGTTTTTCCTTTCTCATCTCAAAGGAGGTTGCTCAGAGTTCAATCTCTGGATTGCATTATTTTAAATTTACCTTTCAGACTTTTAACGAGGACTATAATGTGACCAGCACAAATTCTGATTAAAATAATTCAATACCTGGGAACTCACACTAACAACTGTATGGCTAGATATGGGAATCATGCCTGTGAGTAGCAGACTCTAGTATAATAAAAGGACATTTTCAAACAGCTCTTCCTCTCACAGGATCAATATCTGAGAACAGAGTGACTCTTACTCCCAGGCAAATTATAAACATCAAGCAATATTTCACCTTCTACCGTTGTCTTTAACATGTTTTAATTCAGGATTTAATTTCAGACACAGTTGGAATTACTTGAACCATGATACATAAAAGTAAAGTTGTAAGTATTCCCAAGCCTCAGCAACAGGAAGAGCTAGATGCTGTGAAGGGGGTGAGTCCTTTTCTGAGAAAGAACAAACAAACCTTGAAAAGGATATAATTCCAAACTGTTAAGTATCAAACCAAAGTGTTCTATATGTAGTGAGAACTGTTCTGCCGGCTTTTGTCTTCCAGTGCGATGTGGAAACTGTGACTCAGATTTTCCTATTTTATATAAGAAACTTAAAAATAACATCAAATTGCATGGTTCCTGCCTTCTGAGCAGTAGCAGGAATTAACTCACAGTTGGATGCCTTCAATGCTAACAGGACAATTAAGTCCAAATGTATGAATGGGCCCTACAAATTTAACACAATAAAATAATCCATTAATTGCTGTCATCTTACAGTCTTGCTTTAAAATTCCTCTTAAAACCATTTCTTAAAATCCCCCTTAAAAACTTTATTTCCAAAGTTGTTAATATTTTGGGAAACACAGATGTTCCCAGAGAAAACATTCCAAAAGATACCCATGAAATTGCAAAGGAAGTTCTCCTTGGAGCTAAGCAGTTTAAAATGTTTTCTTTATACAAGCAAATTACAAAAACATATCCCTACTCATGTTAAATTGTGTACCCCTACACGTTAAATACTCATTTTTGTTAATAGTTGGACAAGTGTAGAAACACCCCCCACACTCCAAAGCACTCTAATGATTACAAGAACTGGAAAAATGGAAAGTATTTTAAGACTAAAAATAGGCTATGTTCCAAAGCCTTTTATCAAAAGTATATAAAAAGTAGTCTAAAAATTGAGAATTGTGTACAACTACTGTGCTTAGAAACAAAACTAAAGACTTCCTTTTCAGAAGGTTCAGGCAATATTGGAAAGCCATGAAGGTCAAGACATACTTGAATAGCCACCAAATTCAGTCAGGCAACATGGAGCATCACACACGACTTCCAAGGTGGAGCACAGTGTAGATTTTTTCTAGTTGCTGGCCAAGGACTGGTGAATAGGAGGCTGGAAACAGCGGACATGTTCTACTGGTGTGCCTTCTCCATCACCAGATTTCAAATATTTGTCCAATATTGCAATGATCTCATCATTTAGGATCTGGAACTTGCGGATTCTCTCAACCATTTTCTTCAAAGGCTGCACGAACCAAAATTGTAGAGTTAAGAATGCCAGGCCATAATTAAGCAATGACTCCTTTGATGTCAAAACCAATGGGTAGGATGGGAAATTAGGCCTGCCTCTGTCAACTTACCACGTTCTTTATGACCTCATCTTTGCCATCATGTTTCTGTACTTTCAGTAAGTGGTAGCAGAAATCCAGCACATCAAATCGACGTTGTTGCCCCAGCAGCACAATAATCATACAGCCAGCCCAATGGAGCCCATCTCCAAAACACTGTCTGTGAAGTATAGAAAATGCTGTTTTTAAACATGGTAGGACAAGTCAATTCTACACTTTAAACTCTTGAAAGGACACAAGGACACATGCTATGTTAAGATTTCTAGACATCAACTGAATTTATTATAAATCCAGCCAGCTGTAGCATTAACTGGCTGGATAAAAATATCATCCCAGTTCCATTGCCTTTGAGGTGATCATTCTCATTTCCTTCCAATTGTGAAAAATTGGCAATAAGAGAAGTGTTGAAAAACTAAACAAAACCTTAATCCAAGATTTTGTTTTAAAGACTGCCTGTTTCTTGAGATTTGTACAGGGCTAATATGTGAGTATAGGGAAACCATCTGGAAAAAGCCAGAGCTTTCCCTTGAAGCAAAAATTACAAAATTACAAGGCAAAACTCCTTGGAGAAGGCAATCATGCTAGGGAAAGTTAAAGGCAGAAAAAAAAGAAAGATCAACTATGACATGGCTTGATTCCATAAAGGAAACCACACCTTTCAGCGTATGAGAGCTGAGCAGGTCTGTCATGGACAGGACAATTTGTAAGGCTTCATAGGCTCACCATAAGTCAGACACAACTTGATGGCACCTAGTAACAATATCTGAGTCACAATACCATTGTTGTGATTACATTACAACTACTATATTGATTGGAAAGCATTTAAAATACAGAACTAACATTCTAAGGTCAGGCATTAGGTCTGAGCTCACATCACAGGCTCCCTTCCCTGTAGTGCTGTTAATACTACTGTTCTATTTGCCGTGCGATCAAAAAGCCTGAACTGATCAGATCATTTTCTTGACTGTGTCCATGTCCAGTTGCTTAAAAGCAAATAAAACATGTTGCATACAAAGACTTAGCAAGAACTCAAGATGCATACTCCACAGTAAATTCATGTGTCCCCACAGGAATACAGTAGACAAACTGCATTGCACTCCAGAGGCGGTGAAATTCCACACACTCATCCACATGCATCACACCATTGCTGGGGAGAGGGCCACGCCAGATGGGGTCATCAAGGAAGGTTCGGATCCTGGTTAGGATGACTTCAAACATTGATAGGCCACAGCACAGCCGCTCTTTGGTCAACAAGTCTCCTTCTCTCGCTATGGCAATTTGCTATGGTTGCATCCAAAGAAGAAAGTACACACACAAGGAATTAGCTCTGCAGAAGTGGCAGACCAGTCTAACTCAAACATTAAAGTACACTGGAGGAAACATCTTGTTTCTTCTCTTCCAAGCCTGCATACAGAAACCTAGCCATCTGCTTGCAATAGATGAGGAACTCTCAAACATAATGGCGATTGAGTAGCCATCAGCTGGTGGAAACTTGCTATTGCAAGAAGTGCAGCTCTGAAAGGCCACTGCTGCCACCATCGTATGAATGGGATGGAGACAGAAAGGAGAACAGAGAAAGGGAAAGGAGAGGCACAGGCAACTCAGGTAGGTTGAGAGTGGTATATAGGAAAGATGGGTGGAAAAATGTATTTGAATAGCGTTCCTTGGGAGGCAATTCAATGTTCCAGCAGGTTTCTTTATTCCATCTAGATTATTATCCTGGCACTATCTCCTAGCAACTAGCTATTCACCCCCAAAAGCTGCTGTATCTACCCTTCAACATGAACTAACATGAGATATCAAGGTGTCTTCTTAAGCTGTACCTGAGGCGTTCCTAGCCTTTCAATCAATGGGACAAGGTGGAGTGGAGCATACTTTGATTCTAGTCTCTTCATTTTAGCATCAAGTCTTTCACCCTCTAGAAAGAAAGAGAATTCTTTAGCCAGAACATAGTATTTAAAACAAAAATAGTTTTATATTTTCCCAATAAATTAGCAAGTTGTATTGCTTTATTTTTAAATCCCAACTTTCTGGATTAGGCATCAAATGAGGCTAACAACAAACTATAGCAAAAATAACTAAGTCTAACTATCAGGAGATTTACTGAGCCTTTAGGAAAGCCAGTGTAGTATACTGGTTAGAGCAGGGGTCTCAAACTCGTGGGCCGCAGGCCAATTGCGGCCCGTGGGATGATATTTTGTGGCCCCCACTTGATATCAAAGTTTAGTGATAGGGCGGCCCATGCGTTTTTCTCGCACGCACCTGCGTGAGTTGTTACCCTGGGCGCAATGTTCCCTCTAAGCTGCACGCCGGGATGGGGGGGCACGGGGGAGGGGCCCTGCGGCCTTCAACGCGCTGGCAGCGCCCGGGCCGGCCTCCAGGAGCCACGTGGGATGAGCAGCACAAAACTTGTGCTATGGAAAGCCCAGCTTTCTCAGACAAACCTCTGCCATTTCCCAGCATGCAAGGCACTCATGGATTCTGGCACACCATTCAGCGGTGAGAAGTATGCTGATGCCATTGTAAAGCTACAGGAAGAATTTGATCACAGGTTTGCAGATTTCAAGACACACAGAGCCACTTTTCAAATTTTTGCTGACCCCTTCTCCTTCGATGTGGAAGGTGCCCCCCCCGCCCGTGCTTTAAATGGAGCTAACTGACCTGCAGTGCAATTCTGAACTCAAAGCCAAGTTCAGGGAGGTGAGTGGAAAAGCAGACAAGCTTGGACAATTTTTGAGAGAATTGCCCCTTACCGTCCCTGAGCTTTCCAGGATGTTCAAGTGGACCATGTGCCTTTTTGGGAGCACCTATCTGTGTGAAAAGCTCTTCTCCACCATGAACTTTAATAAGTCAAAGTTCAGGTCCAAACTTACTGATGAGCATCTTCAAGCCATACTGAGGGTCTCTGTTGCTTCCTCCCTCAAGCCAAATGTGGCTCAGCTGTGTAAGAGGAAGTGCTGTCAGGTCTCTGGCAGCAAGGAGCAGGAGGAAGTAAGAGAAGCCTATGTTCTGAAGAACTGTTCATGTTCTGAATTATTATTAGTAAAGATTGAGAAGATTGGATCAGTTGTACTTTTTTTTTGGAATACTTGAAATCCATTTTTTGTGGAATACTTGATGCGACCCAGCCTCACCCAGCCTCTACTTCCAGCAGCCCCCAGGTAAGTTGAGTTTGAGACCCCTGGGTTAGAGTGTTGGGACTCAGGAAATCCAGATTCTAGCCCTGCATTTGGCTATGAAGTCTGCCAACAGGCTTTGGGCCAGTCATTAACTCTCAGCCTAACTTACTTCACAGAGCTAATGAAGTGGTGAGAAGGACAACCATGAACGCCCCACTGGCTTCCTTGTAAAGGAAAAAGCTAAGATATAAAAGTAGTAACAAGTAAAATAACACACCACCAAAAACACATACAAAACCATAAAGTGTCTCATGCTCAAGTTAAAGAAAAGAATTAAGAGGGCCAAAATGGTTTCCTTTCCCTTCTGTCTGCAGTTGATTTGATGTATTCCTACATCATTCTTGTACATTCAAGAGTAAAAAATTAACAGGAAAACACTTGCAATGGGAACAGTTTATTTAACTCCTAAAGTAAAGCTTATATTTAAACATACTTTCGTTTCTACATAGATAAAAATAATTAAGATAAACCTTATCATAGTCAAAATGCCAGGCTCCAGGGCATGAAATTTTATGTATAGCAAAACTTAAAAGCAGATATTTGGTTTATGTATCACTTGTGAAGAGGAAATACTCCATGGCAAGTGGATGAACTCAACTGGTAACTTCTTGGCTGCCTACAATGATTTATGCAGACTGCTTTTAAGCTGTTGAAATTTTATTTTGCAAACTAATGGGAATGTGGGAATGCTATGGGAGAAAGACAAGCAGCAAAATCTGCAGCTGACAATGAAAAGCAACAGAGAAACAACAAAACAACCTGTGCTGAAAACAAAAGCTTCACAAGCAGGAAAAGTTCAAGTCACATAAAGTGCTAACCATTTCCATTAGCACAGTACTTAGCCGTGCACCCAGAACATTCCAATGAATTCAGTACAAAAAAGTGAGCTTGCCCACTCTACCATCTTTACAGGAAGCCCACACAACTTGTAACACACCATAAATTTGCTGTTACTGCACCAAACATATGCTGTTCCTCTTTAGCTCCTAGAAAGCCCCTCCATTTCTACATTCTCTGTTCAGGGTACACCATCAGGGGCTTTATCTGAAGCCTTGTATGCATTCAAGTTGGTGGGTCATACAAAAAAGACATACCTTTGACATGAACTCTTGGTAAAATATTCTGGAATGGTGCAGCATGCAACAGGTCACACACTTCCTCCAGCGACTGCAATGAACAACATTCAACACACAGAAGCATGTTTAAGAACCAAAGCAGTAACAAGTGCCTGGCAGAGGCAGCTTCTTGCATTGCCTCAGCCTCCTCCTTCAATGGCAATTTGGCTATAGCAGGCTCTTCAGGCTAAAAGCAGCAGGACCTGGGAGATTTGTACTTGGATCTCCTGATTCCATTCTGAACTTGAAAGCCAGGTGCAAAGGAGCACCAATATCAGAACAGGAAAACCTGTTGCGTCATGCCATTTTTAAACATCGAAACGCCCTCCTTCTGCGGATCTTACTTCATAGCAAGAAAAAGCAGGCAGGTACCTATATATGTCTAGATTTACTTATTTTGCAGTGGGGATAACAGCAGCTTCAGCTAAGAGACAATTGGTCAGGAAAATAGTACAGCGGAAAAGGGGTTGTTTTTCTCCTGCACCAATCAAAATCAGAGGAGTTATTGTTCAACTTGAAAAATATAATAACAACATACTATTTACTAGTAACCAACTAGATACTACATTATTATATAGTATCTCCCATACTATATCTGGTCATCTTTTATTCATAATAATCCTACAGCTCTTCACTAGAACTGGCACTCTGTTTTGTAGGCAGAATAGTAAAAAACACAGCATATGCTTTATCAAAAAGACTAACGCAAATGACTGTCAGTGTTCAAGTGGCAGACTGGAAAGATGTGAACCAGCAGTAAGTCATGCTTTTATTTTTATCAGCATTATTTCCATAACAATCCATTATTTCCTGAAGGGTAGCTCCCACAAGAAAAACAGCCCACAGTAATGTTGGGCCAGGATCATTTTAAAGCAATCTTCAAAACCTAAGTAATTCACTTAGGTAACTAGTGCAGGAGAATTTACACACACATGGAACAAACGGCTTCAGAAGTGTCATTTGTATTCCAACTGCATACAGCAGCCAGGCAAAATGAAGGTGAAGTGCTGTTAGCAGGGAGCATCACCACTTGGTCATGCCAGCACTTGTTTCTATGTCTGTGCTCAGGATAGGGACATACTGGTTGGGTTCAGATACCATGATAATCCACAATCATGGGTTGACTATGGACTGAGTGCAGGTTGTCAATGAACTATGGCTCATTGCTGAAATGGGAATTGCCATGCTGTCTGAATACAGGCATGCTAAAAGGTTGTCTCTAGAAAGAGAGGTTCTCTGTACATTTGCAGCAGCTATTTTCATCTTGCTCTCCCCAACAGGTAAACACTGCTAGCCCCAATGCACCTTGAGACAACTTTCAAATCAGAGCATAGGGTTTACAACATCTGCCACAACCTGTTGCCCTACAGTTGTGTTAGACTGCAACTCCTATAACTTGTATGGGAGCTGTTATCCAACACATCTGGAGGGTGGCAGACTGGAGAAGGTTGGTATACACTCATGTCTGAGACTCAGTTTTGCCAACTACTATCTGCCATCCACACACAAATTCCCCCAAATAGTACATCCTTGATATTATGCTGTGTCTTTCATATTATCTAACAATGGTGTTATATTTATATGTATCTATAAGTACTAAATGCAACTTCTGTTCCTCAGACATAGATGGCCGATCCCTGGAAATCTCCCCAAATGACAGTGATATTATCTGCATGTCTTCTAAGACCCACTGAGTTTAACTGGGCTTAAACTCAGGTAGGGACATATAGCACAACCTTCCCATAATATTTCATGCATACTTTTCCAAAAACACAGTTATCTGTGGTTTCCATTACTAAACCAGACACCAGAGGGCATCATGAGAACAGAACTTTTCTTTAGAAATGAAGGAAAAAGAAAGGCCTACACTTCTATCATTTTGAACCTGAATTCCTATCACACATTCTGAAGCTTTCCCCTACTTCTTCCTCGAAAAGTTATTTCCCAAGAAAACATTAAAAAAAGATTAGTGAATTCACACTTGCCACTTACAGCAGATTGTGCCACAAGGATAATTTACAAGCACGCAGAGATTCAAATCTCCCACCTACCAAGCTCTGCTCAATGAGGAGGCAGAAGAGAATAGCATTGCCCACTTCTCGCAGGTTCTGGAAACACACCGTTTTCAGTTCTGCATATTCAACAATGTCCTTCAGCTGATGATGAAAGAATTCTAGAATCCCTGGGGAAAGGTGGAAGAGAGATTAAGAAAGGCAAAATAAATCACTCCTGTGACAAGTTTGGACATAAGGAAGCAATTTAAAGTCATTCACAGAAAAACTGCATTTAAAATTTTCGTTAAAAATTAAAATTGTAGCAGTAGCCATGATTGGGCAACTCAGAGGGTATGCAGAGTTTCTCACTAACAAAGGCTATCCAATCCTGATACAGCACTGGAGAACCCACACACAAGACAACTGAGTGTAAGTCACTCTGTGTGCAAAGGGACATACGTGTCCTCTGCATATGGACACCTGCAAACAAAGTGCTGTACCAGAGAAATAAAATAATGACTAGTAAGCAAATATACATATACAATTTCTTCATCTGTATAGGTAAGATTCAAGTGTTTTTTAGATTTGATATTTGATAGGTTTTCCATTCAGGAAAGGGTCAACCTTTGTCTCCAATTGTATGGATAAGTGTCATGAGTTAATCGCTGCATTGGAACATTCACAATAGCGCACCATCCAGAATTCACCCAAATGCACGGAAGCACTAGAGATTCAGGAGAGTGTACAATCCTATAATCCACTACACACTTAGTAACAGTCTGTCAAAATTGAAATTAGGCCTTCCTCTCACTTATGCGAAGGACTGTCTCGCAATGATCATCTGCTTCAAGTTGAACAAGAGATATGAATGGATGAGGAACTCAGCATCTAAAACTTTGGTTGCTGACCTGCACACAGAAGGATTGTCAAGCACCTAGCAGATCACAATAGCTTGTAAATGGCCTGTGACTGCCTTGGTAAACCTAGATTTACTTTTCCATACATTAATTTAGGATGCCCTTCACAAACCTTGCACCATTCAGTTTACTTTGAACTTCAACTCCTATTAACCCCATACAAAACAGTGAAAAATACTGGTAGTTGTAGCCCAAAACACATGCAGGACCCCAAGTTGAAGAAGGCTGTTGTCGGGAATTCTCATTTTCCAATTTACCAGGGTTAGCTTAGGCTAAATATGGAAAATCAAATCTACTAAAAGCAGAGAACAGATGTGAGCCAGCTAGACATTTTTTCAAACCTCAGTTCACATTCTGATGGTCCTGCAAAACTAACACTTTACATTGCTCTTTCACACTGAGGAGAAACAGAAGAGAAGGAAACATACAAGCTCAAGACTCACAGCTGTTCGTGTCTGATCTGCCAAACCACAGCTTGGAATTCTCTGCTCTGCTGTCACAAGGATCTGGTTTGCATAATCGCCATGGGTTAAACAAGTCATGATGATTTGTTTCAGCCACAGCACTTACCCACTTACCCACCTTGGGGTGGCTTGCCACGACAGCCAAACCAGGGATGGCATAGTTTGCTGGAGGCAGAAACAACCCTGAAAGAACCCAGCAATGGGTCACGGGTTGAGGATAACTTCGGCATCTAACAAGCCATACCAATTCAGTTTGGGTAACATAAGCTGCACTTATGCAGGTAATTAGATGAATGGAACCCAGCGTGGACAGGCATGCACCGTAACTTAAAGAAGTCTCAGAGAAAATGGAGGTCGTTTAGGTAAGCTGACTACGGCACCACACATTTTTTGCTTTCCACTGCATTCACAGCTTCTTTACGTGAGCTATGTGGATGAGTTTCACTGAAATAACTTCTCTAAATTTTTAGAGAAATAAGAGTATGAATGACCTTGTTTCATAGAAGGGTATGGCAACAATTGACATCAGGAGCAAAATATGACACACACAGGGCCCAAATAATGCAAACTACTTAGAATGAGTCCTAATCCTATAGGTTAAATGAAAATTGGAATGAAGAAGACTGTTAATAAACCGTTACAATTCATATCATCACCTCTCAGTAAAGATTATGGCTTATGTGATTATTTTTACTATTACATTGATATCCCACTTATATTGCAAGGAGAGCTTATATTAGGCTGGTCTCTTTTTTATCCTCACAACAACTCTAGGCTAAGAGTCTGTGAACGGCCAAAAGCCACCCAGTGAATTTCACAGACAAACAGAGACTAGAACCAGTATCTCCTGATTTCTGACTACAATATTCTAACCACTATATCACACTGTCTCTCTTTTTTCTTGCAATTACTTTACCAAGAGAAAATCAAGAGTGCGGGAGAGGGCAGATTTTTATTTCTATTTAATCAATTCTCCATTGTTTTTGCAAAAACAGGAGCAACTTTTGTCTAAAAAAATTCTGCTCAGTCTTAGGGCAGCTAACAAGCAGAGAGCTCTTACATTTTTAACAAAGACTAATGAGGCACTTAATCAGCTCAAAAGGAAATGCAAAGAATCCAATACTCAGCATACCTTTGAACCTTGGTAATGGGAGTCAAGGATCTCACAGGATGCAAAAATCAGTGTAATTTAAGTTAAAATGAACCCAAATGAGACGAAGTAATACTGGCAAGTGGGAAGAGAGACAGAGAATAAGAGATACTCAAAGCCAAGCATAACTGCAATGATTCACTTGTGTTAACAAAATTGCAGAGGCTATACTCAGGGGTAGGAAATAAATCTTATAATCAGTCAAACAGTAACGGTTCATCAGAGATTATTCTTCTGAAGTGACGTCCCACAGTAGCTCCTCTACTAGGCCCATTTGTGCTAAAAAAAGGCTACAGTGCCACCTGCACATCTATGGAATAAATCAAGCTTTGAACTATTTCATCATCCCAGATGTCAGGAAACATGCCTCCTTTTTCCTCAGTCTTCTGGCCGGCTATGATATGTATTCTTTCACAAGTGTACACTTCGGTAATTTTGCCTTGTCAATTTCCTTGTATGACTCAACTGTGGATTTGACAACATAAAAGCAAATGAACACATTTCCTGTAAATGTTGTGTATGCAGTAGTTTGTACACAGTTGTGAAGGACCCCAAGGAAAAATAATAGTAAGGGGACCCCCACAGCCCCCTTCCGAAGCACCAGCTTTTAAGTTCAACACTTAAAAACAAGATTGCATTGCCAAGGGGGAGAATGTCCTCCTCCCCTTGCATACCCCTTGGCAATATAATCCTCTCACATATACAGCATTAGTCCCCACACCATTTTCATTACTTTTGAATGGTGCTCCTTTCCTTTACTGCTACTTTTCTCCTGGTCCATAAATCCACCTATATATAGACTCATCTTGTCAATATTGTTATACCTAACAAACTCCATTTCTGCACTTCCTTTGACAGCAGAAACATATGAGACTGCACATATCAGACATCTGAATCTTCCTTCCTTTACATTTGCAAAAGGGCAGGAAACAGTAATCAAAATATTCTAATGTATTTGAGTAGGGAAAATAAAGATGATGAATGATGACAACTCTTCCCAAGTACCACATGGAAGGCCAAGGGATTTTCCCACTCTTCCCAAGCTAAAAACAACACAATAACCACATGGGTATGAAGAACCTTACAACAAGCCATGGGTTCTGAAAGTAGCTTGTTTCCAAGTGAGCAAATTAAAGCCATTCAGTCGGAAACAGTGGACAGTTTGACAACCCACCATGAACTGTGGCTGTTTTCACACTTAAACACAAGTCACCCTGGCATAGCTTGGCATTATGGGTGAATTCAGCATCCACAGCAAAGTGTGGCATGTTTGGTTTCCATGAAACCACCCATAGAATCAACGGCCTGTTAAGTGTAAGGTTTCCAAACTTCAGCACTTCTTGTTCTTGTGTGTGACCGCAACTACAATGTTTCCGCAGGGTCTCTGCATTTCTGTCATCGAGTCTGGGGACAGGGGTGGCCACAGCTGCAGCAGATGCTCCAGACTCCATTTTTCACTGTCCAGTTCTGCTTAGCAACTCCTGGGGAAGCTGCAGCTGTGCTCTTTCAGTTGCATCATTCTCTGTCTCCCCTGGCAGCACACAGACTACCAAAGCCCAGCTGTGGTGACAGGGTCTCTCCAACAACAAGGTGCAGGTCCAGAGCACAGACAGCTGTGCTTCCTACTCCTGCCCGGTCACTGCCCTGTGTGGGAGCAGCACTTCAAAGTGGCACCATACTAGCCAGAAGTCTCCTCACGGGGAGGAACTGCCCTGCTCATGAGAACAACAGGGGCAGCACCCTTTGCCAACAAGGTGAGCACAACACAAGCCCATGTCCCTCGCTCCATCTCCCACCCCCTGCCTGCTCCCATCTTGTCCCCGACAACCCTCAGGAGTCTGCACAAGGTCTGCTGTTCGCACCGCCATTGTCCTGACAGCTTCCTGGCAAAAGCAGGTGCCTTGAAAGCACCCTTGGCAAGATCTGCCCAGCATGTGTGCTCTCTCCACCCCTGGCACTGGGGCCCACGCTGACACAGGGTCCCTGGCTGCGGGGGAAGACAGCCCCGGCAGCATGTGCAAGTCCTGCATGGGAGGAGTGTGGACACATGTGCAAGGAGGGGGCATAGGTGGCTGCGTGAGTGGGTGTGCTTGTTTATGGGCATGGCGTGTGGCAGCAGGGGGCAGCACTCCTGCATTGCTACTCTGGAGCAACAGCACTACTCTAACAAGTAGGCGGTTGCTTCACTGAGCAGCAAAAACTGAAGCAGGTGGCTGCAGTCATGCCCGGAGGAGTGCGTGGGCCACTGAGGGAGGGGCAGGTGAAGTGGGGAAGAGCAGTGCACCCTGGGAATGATCTCCAGCCGCCACTTGGAGAAAAGATGGAGAAGCATAGACACCATGCATGCATTGATACAAGGCAAATGTGAGAACATAAGACACAAGGAAAGATACCACGCTGCCAGCTTTGCTTAGCAGTGAGCACACACACCTTCTATTTACTAAGCAGAACACAAACCTGTGGTTGGCAGGGGGCTTATTTATACCATAGAAACTGAGTGACAGTTGAGGAAAAGCCTTAGAGAACAGCAAGCATTGCTCTGTGCAGCTGCCAGCAGTGAAGATGTGTGCAGTGGGGCATAAAACCAAAGAACCACGGGTGCCAGGCCACAAAAGGCTTGCTGCTGACAGGCAGGAAGTGGTTAGAGTAAGTGGGAAGGGCTTGACTGGTTTTCTCTAACTCTTTCTCTTTAAATTGCTTTGTCACACTGACCATATATCTTTGCATTTAAAAAAAATGTACATTTATGATACAACTGCTGCCCACAGAACGTATTTGGAGGAAGTCTGAAAACACATTTCTTCAAAGCCTGACAATGATAAGAAGAAAATATATGGAATAACTTGATTATCTAACAGAGTGAGCCTACGGCTCCCAGGCAATATCTAGAAGGCCACAGGTCTTTCTGGAATCCCAGTTCCATGGCAAAACATCTTCAGTATCAGTGTTGGTTCTGTACATCGTTCCTGCCCTCCACAGCTGGAACAGACAGAACTGTGCTGGCTTCTTTTCTGACGTACCTGATATGATGTTGGAGAGGATGTTCAGGTGCAGGGAGCAAGGAGGAGGAGAGCACTGCAAGATATCCTGGCAGTGCCTTGGCCTCAATCCCACCCATTCTGGAGCATTGCAGTTAGCATCTAACTGCTCTGCAGGGTGGAAGAAGCAGAGAGGCAGTCTTCACCTCTGCACTCCTCCTACTCTGCATAGGATGCCCATAATCCTGCAAGTTTCAAAGGTTATAAGCAGCCTCATTGGATTGCACCCTAAATAGTTTATTAAGTAACACAAGAAACAAAATCTCATCCGGATAGAACAGCATGATCTAAAGAAAACTCACCTGGGGAACCATACTCATGCCTCGGCAACCTACAGATTTTGGGCATTACTTCCATTAAAGTCTTCACATACTGAAGAATTGTGCCTTGTAACTACAAGAACATAGACAATCAGTTTGAATGTTTGTGTAAGCCATGGAGTTTTACATAGTAAAATTTTAATGCTTTCTCATTTTCTAATTATTTGAAGAACTCAGAAGAATCATAAATAGTCCTTTTAAAACGTGAAATCTTGATGTTTCCAAAAATGAAGCATGTCATGCATTAAAACTCATGCCTCTTTACACAAAACTGTTATTTTATGTTCTGAAACCATGTTCATTTGTTCCTGAGTCACTTACAGTTATCTGTATTTCAGGTTGTGAAAGTGCCATTTAGAAAAAGCTTCTCTGCTTTGGCATCCTCCAAACATGTTGGAGCAGTTTACACATTTGGAGAGAAGCAGTTTGGGAACAGTTGGTTAAACTGTTTTATTTTGCATTCAAATCAATATTAAAATAAAAATCACTGTTTGGATCAACATACCAGACTCTTGACAACTTTTAATAACTCTTCCATTACTACAGCAATCCCTTGATATCCCAGGAGTCTGCAGATGACTTTGAAATGTGAAGGACCAACGAAGTTCCTGTAACTGCTATAAATGCTGGAATATGCCAGATTCAAAGCCTAAAGAGGAACAGAAACATAAAGCATACCAAGTTATTGGCTATTTCACTGCAAGGGGCACAGAATCCTATCATGGGAAATGGTTACAGTTCTGATGCAATATTTCATACAAAAATTAAAGTGTTTTTCTCCTTCAGTTAGGAGAAGAATCACACAAAACTGTTACTCGAAACCGAATATCCTTAAGAGTGGTATCAGCTATTTTGAAGAATTTAACAGACACAAAATTCAGCATTCCAAATTAAGTATTTTTGATAGTAGACAACTGTAATGCAATAGTATCAAGCCAAATTACATTCACATTTTTTAATAGTAGACCCCTCGCAGGGTTTTGCTATGATACCCAAGAATGGGACCTGAAGGGTCTTATGGGAAGCAGTACAACACAAATTCGTGAAGGCTTTCTTAGCCATGTACTTAGGACAGGAATGGAAAACCTCTGGTTGACAGACCAAATGCAGACCTCAAGAGCTCTCAGATTTTTCCAGAAAACATACCCTCACTGCATTATTGACTGGTAACCTGTTTAACTGCTTCCCACAGGGTGGCTTATTTGTGAACAAGCTAGCCTGTCAAACCATAACTTATTCTAAGGGTTGTTGCGCCATCCAAACCCAGGTGATCAACCCTATACTGGGTGCAAGGAAGCTGTAAATAAGTCACTCAGCAAGAGGCTGGGCAAGGTTGGACCAAATGGACAGGGTATGTGAGGTACTGGTTTGATTCCTGTTCCATGGTGTGGAGAGTGCACTGATCCAATGGGGAAGACTAAAATGGTGGAAGACCAAATCGACGAATCACAAATCTCCCCTTCAGAGAAGGACACCGGTGCCACCTGTTCAGGTTGGACCCTTCCATGGCCTGATCAAGCTGCAGTAGTTGGGGACAAGATGGAGAGGCTCAGGCTGGTAGCTTGGCTGAACCAGACAAGGTGGCTGGAGTGGTGGGGCGGTTTGGTGAACCATGACGCTTGGAGCAGTCAGGAGAGCAGTGTTGTGCTCTTTTTGATTATTTAGGCTTTCAAACCTTCTTAGGTTATTTTCTAGATGAAAAGAGCAGGATATAAATGTAATAAATATCTAAATAATAAAATACATTTGGACCTTTATCAAGAGAGCCTACACTGAATACACTGAACTGCAAGCAAACATCTTGCATAGTAGTTATTTTAAGAGCAGACTGTCCTTTTAAAATCAGACTGTCCCTTTCTCTTCTGGAACCTACCATAGCAGATGTCAAGTGGATTATGAGAATCCATGCACCAAGTATGCTGGATAAAATTCATAATCCTTTTACTTTATAATGGTTGACTGAAATATCAAGTTGTTAAAAATGCTTGCTGGAAATGGCACATGGCCTGAGACTGCAGTACTGTGTATAGCTATAGACACACAGGAATATTGGCAAAGGCACATATATTTGCATTTAATTTACAGGAAAAGATTTCAGAACAGAAAAGGACTACACTGTCAAGGACAGGTCATTCTGGATGAGATTCATTCAAAAGGACACCACGAGTCAGAGATGATTTGATGGTACACAACAGTAACAACAACTCGCGCTATGCAACTTGATTTCCCCTTGTTTCTCCACTACCAGTCCAGCTACTGGCGGACAGAAAACAAAATTTCATTTTTTTACATGTGGTTTCTAATCATTTGTCCTCAAGACCACCAGGCTTTTCCAATAGCTGCCAAAAGATTCTAAAAAGATAAAACGGTGCAGGCATATAGCTAAGGAGGTATAAATTTCAACAGCATTTTTATTTTTCCATTTCTCTTTTATCAGATTTCTATCTTACCTGTCTTCCAAGGAGCTCAAGCAGCTTATGTACTCCCCACTTTTATCCCCACAGGAACCCTATGAGGTGGGTTGGGCTGAGAAATTATGACTGGGCCAAGCTTACTCAGTACATTTCAGGTCTTGAGTGGGATTTGAGCTTGTGCTTCTCCAATCCTAGTGTGACCCTCTGGCAACTATAAAATGGTGGCAAATAACTGGCACATGCACACCTGGGGAATTTCTATTGCAGCAAGAAAAACTGTATGACAAAACAACAGTGTGATGTACACAGGTAGCATTACAGAGTTTTAGAAACCGTACTAAACAATTTAGAATAGGCCAATAAGAAAGTACGATACTGCAAAAGGATTGCTTTGCACACCTAACAAATCTAACAAATAATATAAAACAAAACTATTTATGCCTAGCTGCTATCCCAACATTAAAATACATGTTTGCAGCAAAAAAATGTAAACTAGAATACAGAAGAAGAATTAATAAAAGCAAACCAACAGTTGCTACTTCAAGGTAATAAAGCCTAAATGCACTTGCCAAGGCTAATCTTTCCCTCCTCCCCACACTAGGAGTTCTGTAATGATGTCACTGAAGAGCAAAGCATTATTCACTTGCATCAGCAGTGAAGCTAACTCAGACACATAAAAGCAGAATCTAACTAGAGCGCTCCACCAGTACATCTTGTATCGGAAAGCCACCAAAGTGAAGGTGAGCTGTTCTACATCCCTGGAAAACCTAGGCAACAGAATGGTTAAGGCACAATGTTCTCATGTATGAACATAAGAAGAGAACAAAAAAGGCCTCATTACAGACATCCTTGCTGAAGAGAACAAGTGTAAAATAATGAGAACTTGGCTGAAATAACCAGTTTGAAGCAAACCAGCAAACACAGATCATGAAGAAAAATTAGCCATCAAACACCAACCTAGCCACCAGCTTTACCCAAATATTTCACAAAAATCTCAAGATTCTGAGAAACTAAGGGTGAGTATGAACTTTTCAAAGTTGATAACATAAAAATGGGATTATTCCTCAGCTTTTCGGTATACTGAGTTTCCAGCATATATATGTATATATGTGAATGGGGAAATGAAGTAATGTTTTGTTTGAAAGCTATGTAGATAAGAAAATGGCACAAAAGACAGGGTGGGTAAGAGAAATTCATCTCAAAGACTCAAATCAAAACCAGAGCATATATTTAAATTATTGAATATTTAAAATGAAGTTTACTTACGTAGTATTAAATAACAAAACAAACATAATACAAATGTGCAAAGTATTAAAACAATGTTGTAACTGGAGCAAAAACATGCGGTTATTTCTACATGTAATAAACCTCTTCTATGATAATGTATATCTGTTCATCCTTTTTATTTAAATCCAAGGTTCAAACACAGTTGTTTTGCTATTACTTTTGGTGTTACTTTTGGAAAAAGCTGCCTTCAATCCTTCTTTACCCTCTTGGAAAACTCATTTTAAATAGGCAATTTTAATCATAAAAAGTATACTGCTTTATGTTATTTTTCAGCTTTGAGCAAAATAATGCTACCTAAAAATTCCCAAACTACTAAGAAGAGTTTTGAAAAATTAGTTCTCAGACAACTTGTCTTTTCATTTATTGGGTTATTTTAATGAAATACTGAAATTCCACTCTGACATGTTTTACTATTGGCTAAGCAAGGCAAGTGCTTCACTTACTTCCACTAGTAACAAAAGTAATACTTTTGTAATGCTATTGTGTAATCAATAATGCATTCCAATCAATTAACAAGTGTTTATTAACAAGTGAATTAACAAGTGATTTCTGTAGCAGTTTTACACTAGATGTAAAAAAAAAAAAAAAAAGGTCCCAAATGCTGGAGGCCAACTATAGACAGTGTTTTATTCTCGTGTTACATGTAGAAATATTCATCTTAGCCTAAAATTGATACAAAATCACTTATTTTCCAGTGACTGTAAATTATTCTGCAGTAAATACTTGAGTTATTACATAAGTGTTATGGCTCATATGCAACACTGTGACATCCTTACTTTGAAGTAGGGAATTCTCTCCAAGTAAAAATGTTCAACATGTCAATGGTCTGATATGGAATCAAACTAAACAATCTCACACATGCACGGACTTATGTGCACAGAAAAAGGATGCCAGGAATATGCTGTGAACTGGTCCCAAGAGGTTTCAGTTTATTGCCACAGCAAGAGAAACATTTATTTGGGAACTAAATAAGTAAAAGCTAAATTCTTTAAACCTGAACTGCAACAGCAATCCCTTAAAATGGGGTGGGAGTGATAAAGAGTTATGATGATGGATCTAGTATTAGCCATACAGTAGACATACAGAAATCAACGGGCCTTGATTAAACCACGTCTACTTTAAGTCACATTGATTTTAACTGTACGTATAATTAAGTCTGGGCACAACCCTGTAATTCTAAAGGGATATGAATTGCATACTTGTAATTTAGCAAGTTTTGTGCTATCACTTTAGTTGGGGGTACCCAAACATAGTCAACACTGCCATTAAGTGCTTGATAGAGTATTAATTAATTTGGCATAGCAACCTTGTTTATCTTTCAAAGCTGATGCAAACATACATTTTCTCTTTTCCATGAAAAAAATGGATTCTACAGGAATTGTGACCTGTTAAAGGCTCCATTTTGTGCCATTTTTTTACCATCTTGGTCCGAAAACATAGTAATTATGGAAAATGGGGCAGGACAATTGCCCAACAAAACATGAAAAATAAGCTGCTTACACATTTTTCATGATTTCAGCAATATAGAGCGATTTGAAGCAACCACAAAAATAGCCTGAGGTATTCAGTTGTATCACTTCAAAAATATTAAGCCACACCTGTGTGGATTGCTACCGGTTCTACATATGCCTTTCTGAGCTTTTTTTTTTTAAACACACTTTTAAAAAATAGAGTAGCAAATGCCTTTATAAGGAAAGAACCGAATGAATGCTTCTGTTCACTGAAATTCTTTTTGAACTTAAAGCAATTCTACACAAGTCTTTGAAATTATAAGCATATAACTAATGGTATTTTTTTCCTCTTCCTTTATATTCCAGGATACCAGTGTTGAGGATCCTTTCTGATCTGCTTGCCACAATCTTTCCATTTCCTGAATCTTAAGAAGCACCACTATTCCCTGAAGTGACAGTCTGAGAAGAGAAACACGATGGGAGTGACAGTACAAAATATAACAGGAAACACAGCTCTAGTAATCTGGCCTAAAATGGCAAGTTGTGTTGACAGCTTTTATAGCATCATGTACAATCCAAACTGGGATAAAATGCTGTCAGGGTATACCAGAAAATATTTTCAGAAAGAGGAAAGAGTGCCAGCTGGCCGTTCTTCATTCGTTCTTGAGAACCTGATTCCATTAACAACATACATTCTGTGTGTAACATGCCAGTCAGCAAATCCATCCAGTGATCAGTGCAGAGTTTTCAACACACCTGAACAAGACCCGTCAACCACAAACAACAAAAAGAAAGATGTGGCAGTGGGCATATGGCTAACCAGTACAGTTTTGCTACTCATCATTATTGGTATCCTCATCTATGGAAGCTTGCATATATGGTGGCGCAAAAGGAGAGAGCGTTCAGAGAGACAAAGCATTAGACCAGACAATAAGGAAGAAACATGGGCAAAACAAGGAGCATGCAATTCAGAGCTTTTCAACAAGCAGCCCCAAGCAGCCCAAGGAGTTGAGATCAGAAGTACAGATGGTGCCCAGTTGGCTACAATTATTGCAAATCCTTTAACATCTAAGAAGCCCATCATGATGAATTCCAAAAGCCAGGATTATATGCCTATGTCTATATGTCAGTCTGCCCTAACTTAGATACCCTTCATTAGGGCCAGGCAGCATTCATGATCTGCTGTACACAACAACGTATTTAGCATGCAACAGACATGCAACTGGTTTGATCATTATTCAAGAAAAACTGTTCTATGCAATCACTTTTCTAAATAGCAACTTCATCTAAGCTATCACAACTGTATTTCATTAGAGGAAAAATAAGGCATAGCAGAAAATCTAATACCCTCCTTGATTTTCCAAGTACAGGAAGAGATAAATCAACAGCTGGAAATCAGGTAGCTACTTTAGCTCTGTTGCCAAGTCACTGCGTACTCGGTAGAATTTTTGAATGTTTTTTATTTGAACAATAGAATCCCACATCAAAATCTGTTTTTTGATATAGGAAGGAGGAGGATTATAAAACAAGATCTACAAGCTTCCTTAGGTGCATAGAACTAACCTCATATTAAGTTTGATCTTGGCTTTATATTACTTTTGATCTTAAATTGGATCAACTATGTATACAGCATTGCTGGGAGGAAAGAGAAACACATCTGTAAAACAAACTATTATAGTTTATAATCTCTCAGTCATTTCTAAACTGTACCACATACCATTGTATAAGAAAGATAATGGGATTCTATGGGTGGGGAGTAATGGACAGAATGGCTTTCAGGCATTCCCTATCTTCCATCTGGAAGTCTATCCAGCAGAAGGAATTTATTTTAGTCCTAACTCCGTAGCTATTAGTGATGTCATTTAAAAAGTTAGTCATCTGATTAAAGCTGTCAGTTATAGTTTTTATGTTACACTGCTTTTTAGTACATGGATGTATGAATGGCTCAATACAGTTTTTACACTATATAAAAAAATGAACAACTAGTAAACTGATTGCTGTTGTAATTTCTAGTTGCTTCTCCTGAAACTCAATTATCTCGCTGTCTTCTAGACTGCTGTGATAATGTACTGCCTGAATCACAAAATAAATGTGCCATCTTTACTTCATGAAAGCATTTGCTACTAATCTGTGAGATACTCGAGTTTTTAACACCATAAAGTAAAGCTCCATGTGGACTAACTAATATAAACAAAACCCAAATCAGGTACCACACAAAGTAACTGTGCCAAATTAATGCTGAGCTAATCTTTCTTAGGCGACCATTCATTCACAAGAACATTTAAAATGAGTTGAGCTGCACTGCCCTCAGTGGAACTATCATTTTAGGTAGACAGGGATTCTTTTGTGACTGGATATATCTCATATATAGAATTTCAAATAGAGTGTGAATGAAATTAAAAACATGTGTCTCAATGCAATTTTTAATCCTGGGTTCTAAAAATGTTTTTATTGTCCTGATTTCCTGCATTCAATCTTAAATACTATTTCAAATGTTCCATAATATAGTCTTTGCTGTTAAATTTTAAAATGCAGTTTCCAGTGTTCGTTTGGCTAGAAAACAGGGCAAACTATGGTTTGCACAGACTCTGTTTCAGTAATTGTATTTAGGTATTCTAATCCCCAACATAATTAGAATTGCAAAATGGAGTATATTGATCCTACCCCATGGGCAAAAGATCTAATGCCTGCAGGGTGGAAAGACTATCCTGCCTTATTCATGTACATTCCATACCTGTTTCCAAACCCCAATTTTTTTAGGGTTCTAAACTGCACAGCAACCCTACAGAAGTGGATCTGGCTCCCTGATGCAAATATTCTCCTTTCAATTCTTGACCAAGATGGTTACAGGGAAGATATTATAAGCATGCTGACCAATATTTGAGCAAACTATATTTTGCTGAAATCTAAGAGGGAGGGAGGGAGGGAGGGAGGGAGAAATTCAGAGATTACTAAAGGAGTAGGTAAAGGGGAGGGATATACAATCTCAAAATTTCACTGTGCCATGAAGCCAGTTTGCTTCAACCAGACCAATATCCCTATATGTTAATTTTCAGTCATAATCAGTCTACCTTGAAAATCAAACAAATTACACAATTTATACAGCACAAATACATTCAAAGTAGAAGCTAAAAACAAACTGCAATGCTTAGTAACACATAGCTGCACAGTATATTCCTCTTTAATATGCAAAAACAAAAATCAAAACATATTAACCTTTGATCCATGCAGGTATTGGGGCTGTGCATTTGGTTGTTTATCTCTCTGGAATTCCTGAGAAAAGGGTAGTACTGTTCGAACAAACCTACATAAATCAAATAAGACAATAAAACAGTTTACATTTCTGTGATAAAATGTATAATTTATCCTGCAAATCACGTTAACAAAAACAAAGTTGCCTTATTATTTTTTCATGTAGAGCTGAAACGCTGAGAAACATAAGGTGATACTCTTTTAGGTAATTTTCATCATCACAGAATTACCATTCTGTTAAATAATATAAAAACTCAACCTCTGAAGATTCAGTGACTTTAAACATCTAGAGCAGAAAAATGCATCTATGTTAATTGGAAATCCATTTACAGACTCCTGTTACGCTTATGTTGGGCTGCCTTTACAGAAAAAAAGAAGATTTGGATATTGCTGTATAATCTTACCATACTACACAAACAGTTCTTTTCTTTAAGTGTCTATGTATACTGGTGGAATGTTTGCTATTGCCATTGTATGTACACCTAATATCCACTTACGAAGAATTCTCATTGACCCAGTTCACATAATATGATGGGTTCACTACAAACCAAAGGTTGTTTAACCCTCACATAACCCCTGATGGTCAGGATTTGGATGACACACTGCAACCCCACCAAGAGTGGCATATTGAAAATGGTTCCTAGAACATGCCACAGCCAATTGCAAGTTAAAAAATCCAAGGTGACCCTAGTGTGTCATACATACTAGGCCATTGATTCGTTGATCAACATCACACTGCAGCCAGATAGCTCAAAATAATACACAGTGTCTATTTTTTCAATCTTGTTGCAACTTATTTTCCTGGTAACAACTGAATTCTGAAGATTTCTTTAGATGTGTGAAGTTGAGCTGGTCTGGATTATAAAAACTTGGCTTATTGAAGCTAAATATGCATCAGCCCTTTCTGCATTCATCCAGCTTCCTTCATTTCTCCTCTTGTAATTAAAGTTTCCCATTTCATCCAAATGAAGAGACTATGGTTTCACCAGCTTCAGAACAAGTCATGATATCAAACCAACTTCAAATAATGGTTTAATATCCAGACATGTTAAGGGCATAGTTTCCTGATTTAATGCTTTAATTACCCTGAAAATATTGAGGAGCAAAATGAATCTGTGAGCAAGCAAAAGCCACATTCATATCTGAGCTCATTATTAATCCAAGATACATTGGTCACCATTTCTATATGCACAGTAAGTCTTTTCAGTAAAGTTACTCTGTAAGAACACAGTTGAGGGAAGAGGGTTCCCTCAACTTTGAAGAGTAACTGCAAACATGCAAAAGGAAAAATGTGTGGGCAGATTTAGAAAAGAGGAAAGGCAAGTGGAGAAAGGGTTAATGTTACATCATCATGTAACGTGTAGTTCGCCTTTCACTGGGCAGATGTATTCATAAAAAATGTTCTCAAAAATTATTTTTAGAACATCTATTCCTATACAGAACCTACCAACATTGTCTGTTCTTTAATGAATGTTAATACTTTTCTTAATTCATTCGAATACTTAGAAAAGCTAAATGTTATAACTGATATAAAACAATTATACAGATTCACCTTAAAATTGGATATACTCCATCCTTCGCTCTCTGATGATGAAAATTATTTCTGTAAATCTACTTTGGTACACTTTATGCTGCTAACTGGAGGTTTCAACTTGCTTCAAGATAATGATGTTGTATCACATGTTGTGTCACTTTTTAATCTCTACATGATGACATTCCTAGCAGTGTATCCATTTTAATCAACCCAGCACTAAGCAGCTGAAAAAGTAGATTACTCAAACCAAGCTGTTTCCAGTGTTCTGTCTATCTGCATGTGTGTAGTAGTAGTTAAGCTGATGAACACACAATACAGATTTTGAAGTATTCATTTCACTTTCCAGCAATCCAAGCAAGATAACAACTTGGCTTAAGCGCTCATATCTAAGTCAGCTTTCAGGTCAGGCAGACATTATACAAACTGAGAGTTTTGCAAGTAGTGAAGAGATGAGACCAGGAACCATTTGAAGAACTGAGAGCATTTAGGTTCAGGGCCAGCTCCAACTTATTCCTTCAGTAGTGGGTTTACTGCAAACAAGACCACCACTGGTGATACCTGGATGCCCACAAAGCTATCTGCAAGAGTACCAGAAGCCTCTGTAGCATATGTGCCACCCCAACGATGAAGAATTTCCATCCCATTCTAACCCCCTCAGCCAATCTTTGGTGGGAATTATGACTGCTCTGTAAAAGAATCAACCATTATGAAATAATACCACTGAGAAGCAACTCTAGTCTCCCTGCAGAGTTGATAGATTGTTGTAATAATATATGGAAAGGGCTTTGATCAGCTGAAGTGTTCCCGAAGGGAGGGGTATTTCTACTTAATTGCATTCATTTGTTGAAGATAATGCAAATCCTTTATTAAGAGTAAAATTCAAGGACCAACACAAATGAACAGAGAAACAGAATATGCTTATTATACAGCTTAGAATGCATATACTGCCTTAAAATCAGGGCCTCTTCTTTTTCCTTACATAAATGTCCAAGTCAACAAACTTTACATTTGGCCTTGCTTGCACAGAAAAGTTGAAGACAAGTAGATGCAATTAGTAAATGTCCATTAATTTAATAGCAGGCCATCCTAATATTTAATCTCATTATATTATGGAAAGTAAACCATTACAAATATTTAGGCAGCTTAAAGTGCAGTTTATAGTAATGCTTTTTCAGGAATGACCTCAACATTTGACCCTAATACTTAAAACATTTCGCAAATGTTGAAACTCCTGGCAATGATTTAAAATTACATACAGTTAAAAGACACACAGAGCTCTATGATCATTACCACTAGGCCCAAGACAAGAAGCTTGTGGTAATGAACAAATGCATTCTAATGCAGTGAAGAAAAGCCCTCAAAGTATCCCTATTTTCTAAGATCCTTCTTCATTACTATGTATCTCAACAATTATCATGCTGGTGTGAAACTAAGCTTGTGATCACACAGGAGCACCAGGTAATACAGAGCATCAAGTTAAGACTTCTCCAGTGATTCAGTCACTTTCAGTGAACGAAAGCAGTTCTGGAAGGTAACTAACCATTCTCGTTCAGATATTTTAAAAATGCAAATTATACACTTGGTCCAGACAATGGGTTTTATCCAACAAGGCAGAAGATACTATAAGCTGTTTTGCACCTCAGTCAAGAGTGTTTCTTGAGACAAGTAGAATTAAATCCACTTGCACAAGAGTTTGTTCAAGATGCTGCACAAGCAGAAGTATGAGAATGGCTACAGAGTTTACCTAGCATATTGCAGCTTGAAAGCCTGTGCATGTATTTGTGGAACAGCACTAGCAGATGTTTTCTTTCCACAGATAGTACTTTGGATCCATCCAATTATTTCAAAGCCCCAATTTTACACAATCTGTTCTGATTAAATGAAAACATCTCTGTTCATCCTTGCTTCCTCTGCATGAATGTGCAGCAGGACTACCATATGAAAACTACACTCTAGAATAGAGAATGAAAATGGAACATTCTGCTCTATTTAAATATAAATATAAATGCAAACAATTTAACATATATATAAAATTGTAAAACACATGGAGAAACATACAGACATTTGCACTTTGTGGAATCCTTTACAAATAGAATTAAAAGCCCTGAACATGCTGAGCACTGTAACTGTAGCTGTAACACCTCATTTTATTAATTAATATTTTGTTTAAAGGAAAAAGCCATCAAGTTTATCCAGTGTTAAATTAACAATTCTAAGCTTTTTGGGAAGTTCCAACTAGCCATTCAGCAAGCAACGTGGATGATTGGATTCACGTATCACAGTAGCCCATGATAGCAGTAACTCACATTTGTTGGATGTTTAGTAAACTACCCGTGATATTACCTGACAAGTAACTTGGCTCTCTGTGGGTTGTTCCTCCCCTCCTTTCCACTATGTCCTCCAGCAGGTAACAAGGGGATTCTTTTCCCTGCTGTGATCATGAACTATTTTTTGGTTTACTCGGACTTTCCCCCACGGTTTCTGTTTTTCCCCTCCCTGAAGAACTCAAGGATTGATCTCCATTTTGATAGCCAATGAAAGCCTCTTCAAAGTACCCAAGTGACATACTGCAAAAAAATTCACTGCTTTCCTTTTAAAAAAGAAGTTTGTACTCAGAATGTGCACCATTTTTGAATAATTTTATTGCTAATTTTTAAATAGTCGGACATGGCCAAGTACAAGCCATGTGCACTTCTGTAGTTCTAATACTGAAAGCCTTGCCTGGGCAATGTTGTAGGAGGTACCAATTGTCAAAGTTCATCAAGTAACAAGTCTGGACTTTGTTTCAGATAACACAACACCACCATTGGTAGTATGAGGTGCCATACCTGTTAGTAGATCCGTTGTAGCAATAATTTGGAAGGAAATCATAATTGAGCTCCCAAAAGACATGAAGGGTGATTCTTCCATAGGGAGCTGATACATTATGGTTGGCTTCTCTGAACATGGCATCAAAACTGTCCAACATCATGTATCTGCTAAGGAGCTTGTGTGTCATCTTGTTTATTTCTATTAACCCATCCAACTCCTAAGGTTTTTAAAAAAAATAAAGTAAGTAGGAAAAGGACAGAAGGAGGAAAGACTGCAATCAGAATCTGATCAGATAAGATGCAGATCAACAACAAAACACATTGAGTAAACTACTGCAAGCATCTGAAACATATTTATAAGCACAATCTACCCTCAATATGCCTCCTCAGTATAAGGGTAGAAGTAATTCTACTGAATAATTAATGCACAACAGTTCTTAAAACCTCTTCCTAAAAGCATTGAATTGATAGCCCTTGTTCTGATATGTAAGACCATTTAAAATTATGTTATTAAAGCCAATGAAATTTAGTAAGGAAAATTTTAGGTTTTATTAAACTATTAACAGACTTTAGTCAGAATATGAAAATACTAGCCTAGCCCTATCATCATTATCATTATCTTTATCATTATCATTATTTCTTTTCTATACTGCCCACTACCAAAGCTCTCTGTGCTGTGAATTTCATATAAAACCCTGACATAGCAAATCCTAACAGGACATAAGGCGCTGAAAAATATGAGAAGTGGAATGATGCTTCGTATTGCTAAAAATGGGGCTAGCTATCTGGTTTTCATTCCCAAACTTTGTGCAAAACCATTTAACAGGAAATAATTCTGTTTTCCTCTTTTTATTAAAGAGAGGAACAGGTTGTGGAATACAACTGTAGGCATTAGGAAAACAACAGAACAGAAACCTCAGGAAGCTGAAGGCAAATAAAATCTGCACAGTTAAAAATAAGCAAAAGGAGCCAAGAACTCAAGTGGGACATAAGCTGTAAGACAGTGGAGGCTAATGTTGTGGGTAAATAATATCTGGCTATCAGAAACATGAACTACCAAAAAACGCCACAAAAGAAAGAACCATTATGGGATCACTGGAAATAGCCAGATGTTGTCATGTCTTCTCCTTTTGCATGCTCCCTTTTCTTTGCTATTAGCCTTGCAGGCCAACAATGTGGAGAAATTTCCATCCCTTCCATCCCATATGTTTCTGAGCAGGCACAGAATAGAAGTGGGTGGAAGTAAACAGATGGGTTACACTGCTTTTCTCCTTCCCCAATATTAATGCTTTGAGATATTCAGAAAAGACCAACTTACGGCATATTCCCAGATGGGAAATTGTCAGTCAATCCCAACTCAGTAAGAATTTGAACAGTACTAATAATTTTCAATACTTACAACAATGGAAGTCAAATCTTCACTTTCAAATCGACTGATTGCCAGTTCCATTGATTTGTACATGGCTGCTGAAATTCGCTGAGTGATAAGGCGGTTCAAATCAATAGACCGACCAAGAAGCTAAAGCAGAAGAAATTCCAGAAAGCTGTATCAAACATTATGTCTATACAGACACACGCTTTTCCACAACCCCACACCTCTACAAAATACATATGTTAAGGCCTGCTTTTCCTTGCTAGTGGTAGCGAGACATATCCAAAGGGCTCCCTTGCTAGAACTAGCAAGGGAATTCCCAGGTGTGCGTATGTGTATGCACATGTGTGTGTGCATGCATGCAAGTGTGTGCCTCCTGGCATTATCCAATGCGAGGTTTGCATATTGTTGGTACAGAAAGATACCAAACAAAATTTCTTACTTTCACAACTGTTCTCTTACGGAGTTGTGCACTCTGTACTGTAAAAGGCAGGCGGGCTTCATGTGTTGAACTTTTGAATTATGCACCTGTGTCATATAAATTGAGAGGTGAGAAGATTACAGGATATCCTTTGGTTTTGGACTCCCATAGTCTATCAATCAGATGCAGGTGGCTCAGTGGGACAGACACACATTAGAGTGAAAATAGATACAATATATGCCTAACCAATTAGATAATATCTTTGTTCTGAAAATATATGCACTAGGAAAGGCTAAGAAACTATTAGAAACTTGAGTTAAAACTGTGATTTAACACTGGGCCTTTTTCCTACCCAGCTCCTACATTTACTTAAGAAGTTTTTGCCAGAGTTCCTGTCAAAAGCTTTTTCATAGGGAAGAAGATCATCGGCCCACTAGTGTTCATAAATGATAGGTTTGTGCCTCATATGCTGCATTTTAGACATTGCAAGATGGGATATTAAGCAAAAAGGAGATGGGATATTAAGCAAAAAGGAGACAGCAGAAGCATCAACACACCACAAGAAAAGTGTTTTAAAAAGAACAGACTGTAAAAGAACTGCACAGAGGGTGTCATTTACTAACCTGGACATGTCTCTGCTTTAGCAGCGTCTCATACCGGTTAGATGTTAGCAAAGGAATTGTTGCTCCCTGATTCTTGCACTCTGATCTTAATCGTTTATCCAGAAGCAGACTATTGAAATGAGAGTATATTAAATAGCAGACTGTGACACAAGCATTATTTTAAAATCACAACAGAAATATTTTTAAATGGTTTAATGGTTGTAGTTACCTTCCTGCCATAACCTTGTAGTAGGCAAATATCTGGTCTGCCAACTTGTAGACAAATTGGTCAAAGCACAAGTTGACCTGAAGAAAGCAACATATGAACTGTCTTTACTCACATGGAAACATTTCCTATTGAAAAACTACTTCCAAAGTAGCCACAAAAATGCAATATGCTCAGCAGTTCAGTCTACCCTTGGGTGGCACTCAAGCATAGCTAATCTTGCTCCAGTGCTAAACAATAGGAGAGTCTGTAGTGCCAGATCTGAGACTGATTCTTTGTTGCAGGCAAATTATCATGTAAACATCCACATGTAGACTCGCCTCAAGTGTGCTTACTTTTCTCAGGTTCTCTTCACTATTACCAGTTTACCCCTATGGAAGAAATTCACTCAAATACTCTGCTGTTCAACATCCTGCAGGACATACTCAACTCTCTTACCTCTGCCTCAATTTCATCATAGAGAAACTGCTTCTTGAATTTGGTAAGTGCATAATGAGCACTGTCATTATAAAGGTCCAAAGAGTACAGAACATATCTAAACATGGGAATAAAAAATATTTTCAGGCACGCATGGAAATTATCTGTTATTCTCTTACTATTATAGCAAGTAACCTTAGAACAAAACACTTAATCCATTAATTAACCAAAGACTGATAAAAAGAATGCAAAATTATCATAATCAAAATATATTTCCTCATCCCCAAATGCTGGTAATTAGTATACAGAAAACCATGCAAAGCTGGTAATACATCCTATCCAAGAGTTACTCCCAGTCTTATCAGGCACAGATTCCAATCATCAGTACTGTAAACAGGCCAGGGTGCACCTACATTATGCAAGCCAGAAAGCCACAGAAACTTCTTTGGCATAAAGGTTTAATTATCTATCTATCTATTTAAAACATTTCTATGCTGCCCCATCACAACAAAGCCTCGGGGCGGCTCACAACACATAAATAAATACAGAAGTAATAAAATAAATATTAAATTATACAATAAATAACCCCCCAGTGCATTCTCAGCTTAAAAAAAACAAACCCCTAGTTAATAAATTATTAACAGTTAAAATAAGTTTTAAATAAAAAGGTCTTAGCCTGGCACCGAAAAACAATGTAAAGGCTCCTCAATGTAAAGACTCCTCAAAGTAGAAAAAGGAGTGCTGAACAGAAGAAGGGAAAGTGGCAACCTCCCAAGGACCATCTCTCTTTCCTCCATCTCTGACTTTAAAAAGAGTTTTCCCCTCTCCCACAGACCACTTAATCAAACTTTCATGAGAATTTTCTGCATCTGCAACTGAAAAACAAGTGAAAGAGGTACGTCAGTCTTACTCCATCATTGATGCTTCCTTGGTCTCCAAAATGTGGTCTGTCAGAATCCAAGGCATAGACATTTCAATAGGGAACTGGATTCTTCTGCCCATTGTCAGTTCCAAAAAGAACTCCCTGAACCATAGCTGGGACAAATCACAGCATTGCTGCAATGTTTCTTATTGTAGAAAAAAAATACTGAATTAATTTTCTTACAGCAAGAAACAGATTGTTAACAAACATACACAAAACAATTATTCTAATGGAGATATGTTGCATAAATAAATAGAAAATGAGAGGGGTTACCAGAATGGCAAGTGAAAAAGTTAGCAGAAGCCAATATTCAAATAGACAGCCAAGGGAGTTACTATAAGCTTGTACTAATAAAAAGACACACAACAAACACAATTGGTTGCATTACTGAAAATACTGCCAAAAGTGTCAGCAGTTTAGTAATGCACAGGTGTGCATGGGGAGCACACACTCATGGAGCACAAATGCACACACACAACTGCATTTCCCACTTGTACCAAATGCTGTGAAGGCTACAACCCTTTCAGGAATTAAGATGGCAAGGAGGTAGAGAAGGAGCGAGAAGGGAAGGAGGCAGCCATCATTATTCTCTTTGTCGGATTAGATGCTGGTACTCACTCATTCCACATGGTAGGCCCTGATTAAAGAAAACTAACTTGAGAATGTTTGCAAAGATGCAAAGGTAGGGAAAATAGTCACAGCAAATAGACTACTTGGAAGATGCCATGAGAGATGCCAATGATTCCTTCTGCCCCTTCACAGCAAAAGGATTTTCACTGGGCTAAAGCAATGTTTCCCAAACCATTTTATTAAGAGACTAGCTCATCAAAGGCATTGTAAGCCATCTAGGGTTCCTTGCAGAGGATATTAAGGCAATGTTGTAATAAATAACAATACAAATTTTGCTGGGCATAAATAAGAGGACTGAGCCAGGGAGAGGGTAGGAACTGCAACTTGTATACTCTGCAGCCTTTACCAAGGCTGGGTGGCACAATGATTTACAGTGACCCATCTGTTGCACAGACACAAAAAAACCTTGCTTTGTTCTAGTATTTAGTGCAGCTGGCAAAGATAAGCACAAATTGTTTAGGTTCAGCCCAATACTGCTACTGGCAGATCCACCCAGAAGACGTTGGGGAGTCTGAATTAATGTTTGGGAATCATTGCACTAGGTAACCAAACCAAGGACATTAAAACTAACGAAAAACAGCAGTGCACATGAAGTTCACTAAAACATTAACTCTCTCTTCCATTGAAAAGAAACAGTTCCAGTAATGACATGATTTGGAAAGACAACACAATACAGTATGACTAGACTAGAGACATGTCAGTATGTAAATCCACTAGAACAACATGCTTCCGATTGCAGCCAATAGTGGAAGAAATGGCAGCCAAACAGAAAAAAATTGCTTTTATTTTTTAAGGAAAAAAAAGGTATTTGGTTTATTTCTATAGAAGATGGGGAAAATCCAACTTAGAAGCCATTTGTGCCATTTTAACAGGATCAATATTAGAGTCTCTTACTACACTGAAATTTCACAGAAGAAAGAAAAGTCACACCAACTGAAAAAAAAAAACATATGAAGCACCTAACCATTTAATTCCAGATTTGTTTGTTTGTTTGTTTGTTTGTTTTGAATGTTCCAACTGGTTAAGAACCTAAGAGCTCTGCTGGATCAGACCAAGGGTCCATAGAGCCAACCACCCTGTTTTCCCACAGCAGCCAGTCAGATGCCAAGCTGCTAATGCTAAGAGGCCGACATTTTAAATCAAAAAAGCCACATAAAATCGGAAACATTTTCTCAGGTCATGTTAAGAGGTGTTAGGACATGCTAAAGCTGGAGACTGATCATCTGCATATCTTACCACTGAAATTTATCAAGTGGGTGTAGAAGAAAGACTCTCGGTGGAATTTTTCTATGTCCAATATGGTGGGCCCCTCAAGGCTACTTCTCAAGGTTTTCTTGGAACCACTTTTGTCAGCAATGAGGGACTCTAACATGGTTCTCACCATGTAAAGCTGCGTTATTAAACAAAACATTCATGACAGGGGGAAAAACATACATGGCACATTAGTTTAGCATCACCAAAATGCACTGCCAAAATAAAAGACTGCTCCACCTCAAATTGAAACCTGAGAAGTTCAAAAGTCATTAAGTTGAGGGAGGAAATAAAGGAAGAAAAACTACCACAATTTGCAGTGGAACAGTTGATGTCACCACATTATTTCAAAATAATAAGTAAAGCCTTACCACCAAAGTTTAAAAGAGTGGGATAGATGTAGGACTGTCTCAGAAACGTGTTTATCACATGCAATAACTTTTCCATTTTCAGAGATCTGAGCTGCTTCAACAGCTCAGCAGAGTTTAAGGACTCTGTCATAGTGCGAACCATGTAGAGCTAAAAACCAACAGAGAAGGAAAAGGCAAAGGGGGAAAAGAAAGACTTCGTTAATTCAAAACACAAGGGTAAATAAAGAAAAGGAAAAAAACAACAAACCAGAGAAAATGTGTATTAGTTTGTTAAGAGAGGAATAGCAAAAGAGAAGAGAACATAGAACCCAACTGATCTACAGTTAATGCGGACAGATTTATTCTTTTGGCCTACTCATCTTGTTAAGGCTCCAAACACCACTCATAAGAGAATGTCATTTCTGCATCATTACATATTATAGAAGAACAACCTGTCCCTCTTGACAAGATTCAATTGAGTTTACTCTGCCAATCACAAAGATTTCCAGTTTGAATGCAACATTATATCACCTAGTAATACTGAAGCATAAACCACACAGTGGTATTGTTTCAAGATTGCTATGTTCTTAAGGCTTCTCAAAATGAATAAGCAGAAGAGCTGAGGAACTGATAAGCTTGAAATTGACACATAACACAGTGAAAGATATAGAAGGCAGGTGCACCCAAGAAAATATAAGCAAGCAATAGGGTATCTTTCCTCTGAATTGCAGAACCTCCCCTCCAACCCACACTGGTTTTGAAAGGCTCTGCTTTTTCTCATTTGCTTTGCTGTGTGGCATAAACAGCTGTAATTCAAGAACAACTGCACATCTGGCTCAATGATTCAATAGTTGTCCTGATACTGCATTTCTTTGTGAGAGGAATCAAGGAAAGAACACAGAAAGCACAATCCAGTGTCCTCCACCCTCACACATTAGCCTTGTTAAGTTCATCCAATGCAGGGTGTGAGTCACAGCAGCAGCAATTGCCACTGCCAGTTTGTTGCACCTGCATTTCATGGAGACAGCTATTTTCAGCAAGAGAGGGAAGCATATTTGTATGCCATCTGGCTACAGCATAAGCTGTCCGCCTGAACCTTTTCCCTTCTGCATTCACCTGGCAGCCCTCTTTAGTCCACCTCAGGCATGATTTCCAACATCAAAGAGGCACCTATCATGGTTCTTTCCATGTTGGCTGCATGGGAGGTGAGCAAAATGGGGGCTTCACAGGACCTTGGAGCTGAGACTCTAAATAACCCTATTACCCTACAGACAATGTGAAGAGACCACAGGATTATACCCCAATTAAGTAACAAATCAGGTTAATAATAGGAATTTTGTTTCATTTATACTTTGCTAACCCCATTCCCACTGTAGCAGATTTTTGAGGTGTTGTTCAATAAACTCCAGTGCTTGAGATCTAACCTTAAAATTGTAAAGACAGAGATAAATCCCACTTAATTCAAAAAGTAGATTGCTGTATGGAACAAAAGCTGTATTAGGATACTCAAAAAAATAAAGAATATTATCAGAAAGAAGCGTGACCACCATCAAGCCAAAAATAAATTCATACTGAAAATAAATATAAACATTTAATTTCAGACATGCAAACCTGATTGCATCAGAAATATAAATGGCTAAAAATTTGTAAGGCATAATTTAATAATAAAAGCATTCCCACAGATGTAAAATCAGTACAGTGAAAGCTTGAGGTGGGATCAGGAGATAATCAAAGTAGAAAATTAAAGAGACGGTACCTCTGCATGAGATTTTTTCCTAATCCAGATTTACACAGGATTTATATAACCAATCTTTTCAAATACATTCATTTGGCAATAATTCCTGAATCACTCAGTGTCACACATACCACAGTTATTAGAGTTACCTGGGTACTAGAGGGGCCCACTGCTCGCCTTGGGACTTTAACATCAAAGCCACTTTTGGGATCTTTCTCTCCCCTCAGTGCAGGGTCGTTAAACGGCTCATGTCCTCCTTCCCAGTCGCACACAGTCTTTCTGATGGCCTGCAGAACACTAGCCATAGTCCAAGAAGGTATGTGAGAACACACTCCTAAGTATTACAAGTAACCTAACACATGTTTTGTTAAAGGCAATACCCATTCCACCAGAACTGTTAGGCTGTCATATTGGAAATGAATTTAATTTTTAATCCATGGATTAGCTAGGGCAAGGATTTCTGATGTTGGTGAATCCTTAATCCTGAAATCTCTAACTTTCAGCTGTTTTAGATATATTGCCATAAGTTTAAGCTTAGGTAAAGTTTCTTCCACAACATTATATGCACTAAAGGGGCAGTAGAAACTACTCTGTGAATTTCTCCCAAAATGCATTTCCTCAGTCTTAATATCCATGTGTTAAATGCAGGTATGTGTGGCGGGGGAGTCAACACTTGGACTTTTATGCACCATCACGGCTCCAGATGACATTGAAGTCTATGCACACAGGTTTCCCTGTGCATGCCTAAATTCAACATGGACACCAGGAGGCAGGAAAACATACCTTAGATTTGAAGCCAGTGACTCAGCACTGCTGCCCTTCAATATATGGAACTCCTTCACATATATGTGTGAAGGTGCTTGATTTGTAATTATAATGCAAAACAATATTGTTCAGTTGCAAAAAGTACAGGAAAAGGCAACTAAACCTATTAAGTCTGGAGCTACTCCCTTACAAGAAAAGGTTGCAGCAACCTTTAGTTTAGAAAAATTGCTTAACTTGGGAAAAAGGAGTATGTAAGTGAGTAAAGGGAGACATAGCAGAAGTATGAAGACAAAGTAGAGAGGGAAACATTTTTCTTTCTCTCTCATAATACTAATGAAATATAGTTTCATCTCATGAAATGACTGGTGGGATATTCAGGACAGATACCACTTCATATACTGCATGGTTAAGATACGGAATTCACTTCTCTGAGATGCAGTGATAGCCAACATTTTAAAAGGGATTGGAGAAATTCATGGAGAATAAGGCTATCGATGACTACTAGTCCTGATGGCTGTATGCTACCTCCAGTATCAAAAGCAGTACTATTTACGCCAGTTGCTGGGGTCTCTTTGGCAGGAGGGTGTTGCTGCACTTATATCCGGCTTATGTGTTTCTATGGGCAGCTGGTTGGCCACTTTGTGAACAGAGGGCTGAATTAGATGGGTCACTGGTTTGATTCAGCTTTGCTCTTATGTTCCTATGTAAATAATCCAGCTATCAACAGCAATGCTTTGTTCATCTAGTTCTGATGAACAAAGCACTAAAACAACCTTCACAGTAATTCTGTCATTACTTTCCCACAAGACATCTAGGGAATAACTTTTGTGAGGAAATGATTTCGTAGCATCCTCACTAAAGACGGGGCCTACAAACAGAGGCCTGATGAGCTGATATAAATACATCACTCTTTTTCTCTGTTCCTTCCTGAGTTCTGACAAATCCTTAGCACTGGCAATGCTTCTCTTCCCAGGTGAGGGATGAACAAGGTGTGTGTAAACTTGCTATTTCTGCCTGGGAATCATGAAACTCCTGCTTTGACAAGTTGCAGTAACTCTGAAAATTCTGTGCATTTATTTATTTAAAGTTTTTATATGTCGTCCAATATCATGAGTGCAGTAGTTAAACTAAGCCACCAATCATGACTTTAAAGTGCCACTTCAGCATGACTGGTGGTAGACAGGACACGTTCAGCAAGAGTGGTGAAAGATTTTCACTCCTCTTGCCAAGTGGGTGCTCACCACTTAGTCCCCTAGAACAAGCCAAAGTTCTCAGGGTGGCTTATTGTCCTGACACAAGCCATTCTGGAGTTGTAGGTTTGAATGAGACAGAAACTCACAATGGCTAGCTACCCATGTTGTGCGAAACCAGACAGTGAGTATCTGAGAGAAAACTGAATGGCATGAGAACATTTCAAGCACCACCTTTGGATGACATTCTTCTTCTTCTTGATAGCCTGTCTCAAAGGTTCTCTAAGTGTGATCTGGGCAAAGTCCTGGAGAGCAGCATAGATGGTATGACGAATGGCATGATTGAAGACACTTTCCATCCTGCCCATCAATACCTGCAACCCTTTAATCATTGCAATGACCTGCATTGGGAAAAATATATATTTGTGCAAAACCAAACACAAATCACAAGAGAACCAAGCAGACAGTAAGAATAGGTGAAATCCTGCATTTTGCAGAAGGCACCTTTTGCCTCTTACCTCAACAAGAGCAAATTTCTCTTCACTAGTATAGTTGTATCGTGTTGCTCTTTCGTACTCCTCTGCATTGTCTGGGCAATCTTTGTTAGAATATTTGTCAGTTGGATGGACTAGTTTCCATGAATACTGTAGAAGGAATACATTCAAACTAAGAAACCACAGTAAGACTTGTCATATGCCACAAAACCTGCATGTAAGATTATGCATACCTGTAACCCTGGGCTAGCAACTGAGGGTGATTGATTATGCCATGTGTAGACAAGAAGGTGTCTATGAGCACCGGTGTGCCTCCAAAACACCTTTTTTGGAATCCACCAATATAGTCTACCTCTCTCTCTTAGGAAAAATATTCTATCTGCAGTAGGGATTGCTTCAAAGCAAAATGGGAGCCTAAAGCCAGTGTCACCTAAATTTTCCATTAATACCTCTGGACCACGTGTGCAGTTCAGAGATATTCTCAGGAAATGAAGATGGTGTGCAGATGCTTTCCTCTCTGGATCATCCATCCACCAAAAAAAGGAAAGGGGAAAAGAAGAAGAGACTCCTGTCAATTCTGGCTAGTAAGCCACAGGAGGCAGCATAAAGATAGCATTAGGACAAGGGACAGGAAGGTTAAAGCCCAGACCCCCACCCCTGCATTGTACTTGAAGTTTTGGATAGGTTCACAGCCTCTGTGATTAGCCATGCCTTCCATGCCATCCATTTTGTGGGCCCACAAGAGTTCATCAAATTACCAAATGTGTTCACAGCTGAAGAAGTGTGCCAACTCTGTCAGTAATTCATGCAAATTATTAAAAAAATAACTTGTCACGAAAAGTGTTCCCTTTGAATGAGTCTGTTAGGGCAGATTTCCCTATTTGGATACCATATGGCTTCTTCTAGAAATGCTTCTATATGGCGTCTATTATGCACAAAGGTCATTCACTTCGCACAAACATTGTGCATATCACATACAAGGTACAGCTGCGTCAAGGAAATATCTGTAATACATGGAGTGTTTGCTGCAAGGAATACATTCCATTTTTTTCCCAAATGGTGGATATAAATAGCAATCATTCCTCTTGCACTCTATTAGGAATCTTAAGAGGAAGAAGCTGGGCAACAAAAATCTAACTGGTGGGAAAAGTCTTTCATTGACTACAAATTTAGATTTAGTTATGCACTGCTCACACTAGCCTACATACGGGGAGAAAACACTTGCGTTCTTTAGCATATGATTGTTAGCCCATTCAAGTAAGATTGCAAATAACATATGGGATGCTTGTTAATAACATAAAAGCTAAGGAACATTGTTAAAATAAAAGCTTGGAAAACATTTCCCTATTACATCTTTAGAATTTAGCACTGTCTGTCCTCCCACATACCACTTCCATCACATGTGCACTCCACTGAGACAGAAGCTGAAGACCCTGGAGAGAAAGGTCAAAGAGTTTTCGATACTCGGCATCTGTCTTCTGAGCTTCTTGACGGCCAGATCCAGTCACCACCTGTAATGAATGCATGACTGTTAAAAACATACATTATGCATAGGACTAAATACTAGTTGTTTTAGGGTAAAGTCCTATGCATGTTTACAAGACAAAAGTTCTCAACTCCCAGCTTGCCCCCCTGGACTGAGCCCACTCTCTCTCCATTTTAAGTTCAGCTCACGCCAAGCACTTGCATGGGTGTCCAGCAGGAAATGAGTCCAAGCAAATCCAAGAGGTCAGCTTAAGTGCATGCTGTCAATGCCTGCAGTGCAAGCAGAGTTCTGCTTCTGTCACATGATTTGTGTGCTTTGCATATCTGGCACAAATAATTACAAGCTTTGTGTACCCCACCTCAGAAACTGCATACTAAGTGTACTCTGCGCAAAAAAGTTGCACGTGTTCTTGGAGAATTCGCCAAATTTACCCTGGCTGCCCTCCTGACCAGGAAAAAGCACAGGAAAGAAATCCAGCAAGCATAAGAGGCACAGAATCTGGCCTGTTCTTCATAGTCCTGCATAGCATTGCACCGTTAGGTGAACAAACCCAACTTGCTGTATGTACAGAATGTTTATCAGGTTGAAAGCCTTTGTAAAAGGATTAAAAGCACAATCCTATGCACATTTAGATAGGAAATATGCATAAGATTTATTTTCTAAATATGCATAGAATTTTGCTTTCAGACTCCCAAGTTCCATGTAAACATGTTGGTGTGACAGCCACATATATACAGCATGGTCTCATGCTGATCTAGCAGCAAAATACACAGCATTCTGGTAAGGTACTTTTTATGACAAAGAAATATTTACACTAGTCACATGAACAAACTTGTACCTATACACAACTTTAAGAGCACTGACTCAAAAACAGCAGTAAATTAAGAAACAGCATTTTTAATTGCATGTTTTTTATCTTAATATTTATCTCCAGCCCCATTCCCACAGGCTCTGTTATTGTGTTTGTATTTTTATTGTATCTTTTGTATTTGATTAATTGTTCTGAACCACCCAGAAAGCTTCAGCTACTGGGCAGTACAGAAGTGAAATAAATTTTATTTTGCCAATCACGGTACAAAAGTTTTACTGAAACCAGTATAGGAATAACACTAACTACTATGTACAAAGAACTGAGGCATATTTAAGTTTAACCTTCTATTATAAAAGACTACCTGCACATAAAGTCTGCCATAATCCAGAGACTAGACTCCCTGCATTACCCCACACACCTCACTATTGCTGTAACGAGCCAGTTCCGAAATAAAGCGCATGTGGTCATCTCTTATCTGGATCATCTGTTCACAGATGTTGTACTGGGGACTACTGCTGGAAGAAGTGCATGTCCATCTGTGATAGAAGGAAGATGAGCAAACAGAATAAAACATGAAATTACAACAGGGAAAAAACCAGAAAACTCACCATTTTTCAACCACTGGTCCAATCAGTTTGACAGTAATATGACACAAAACTTATTTGTACGAGGAATAGTTGATCTGTTTGTTTTTGGTTAGGCTAAAATAGAATACTATGCAGGTAATGCTAGCTAAACCTAGCAGCCTTGTACTTACTGCTCATCTTTCTTCCATAACATCTTGGAAATTCAGTATGTGATGTGGGCCCAGGGAATCATTTGGGAGCAAGAGATGCTTCAAAGTTGCAGAAGCTAAGTGAGTGCTGACCCAAAATATAACTGGGATGGAAGATTCTTGAACAAGCAGGATAAAGTATAATAGAGAAGTAAGGGAAGGGGGTAATCTAGATGTGGATTTATATATTTATTTACAATATTTGTATTTTACACCATATCTAGGTAGATAATGGAGTGGTGAACCACAAGAAGACAAAAAAGATAAAAGACTAAGCTGAGATGCTTATCTCAAGGCCATCCCCCCCAAGTGTTCGGGCAGGCTCTGAGAATAATCAATATGTACAGTTGTGGGGTGGGGACGTGGGAGGGAAGCTCTCAGGGTCAGACAAAGCTGGTATGACTCTTGACCCTATGAGGTGGCATTGGGAGAGGAGGGCTAACCACCTACAGCAGTGGTGGCGAACCTATAGCATGTGTGCCACAGCGGGCATGCAGAGCCCTCTCTGTCCCAGCAGCCGAGCATCAAATAACAGCGCACACAGGGGCCATGCACATGCTTGGAAAGGAGTAGCAGCGCCAGGTGATGATGTCACAAGTCACGACTCATTAGCTGCGACTTGTCCGAGCTTTCGCATGGCCAGTCAGTGCGCTGCCAAGGATATATTGCTTGGACTGGCTTTGAGTTTTAACACATTTGTTTTTATTAACACAAGATTTTAGCTTTGGGTTTTCTTATGAAAAATTGAAATTTAATATCTAAGATTTAGCAAAAAGATGTTCTAATTAAGAGACTAGAATTTAATGTTGTGCTGTCCCCCTGGCATTTTTGAATCTGCAGCATCATATTTAGTTGTTTGTGAAGAATTTATGAAAACAAGAGCAAGGATATTTATATTTGCTTGGACAGGCTGTGATTTCAGCAAAAGCCCCCACAAGGTAGGAAATGGATTCAGATGCCTTTTTCAGAGCAGGCCAAAAGCTGGTGGTCAGTGGAACCAGCATGCATACAACAGCAAAGATCACATTAATTGTGCAAAAGCATGCCAAATACAAACTTTTACCTTTCAATAAAAAGCTGTTTGTATCATTGAAAGCTCTGTTATTGTGTTTTTCTTTTAGGAGAAAAGATGTTAATGTATGAGTTGTTTTTTCTAAACAAAAACCTCAATAGTCAGGTTTCATTGCAGTGTTGGCGCTTTGCTATAAATAAGTGGGTCTGGGGTTGCGGTTTGGGCACTCAATCTCTGAAAGGTTCGCCATCACTGACCTAGAGGATGGCATAACAAGAAAAGGCATGCTCACTTCCAAAAGGGCCCTCCCAAAGGGATCAGACACAGACATACTCAAAAGGAGGGTTTCCAGAAGAATGGGTTCAGCTGGGTTCAACAAACCACTCTGCATGCTCAGAGATACGTTCTGTGGTGACTGAGTTTACTGGGCATACTTTGATAAATGAAGAGCTTTTTGCAAAAGAATGGTCTGTGGCCTTGAATGTGTGGAGGGAAGAAAGCCCCCTAGTACACAACACTTTGTTTTCTCGTGAACTAGAAACATGCAATGATTTAGGGCAGTTCTGATGCCCTCAAAGAAGCATGCCAGCCTGTCTTTTTGGTCTTACCTAGATTTATTCTCCTCATAGTGAGCACTGGTCTTAACATATCTCGCCAGTTCAATCTGCATGTCGCCAAAAAGTGGAACCACTTGCAGTTGCTGTATTCAAGCCAAAATAATAATAATAATAAGTAGTAGTAGTAGTAGTAGTAGTCAAGTCTTACACAAATTGCATGCCACCCAGGACAACTTTATTTGGGACTTGTCAAGAAAAATGTGATATCCTCAGAACAGTCACCCCACCTCTTGTTGGCAGCACTTCCTATGGGTGGTTCTGGCTAAAAAACCAGGACAAAACCAGCCACAGAAAGCTGCTACTTGAATGGACTTGCAACATGAAATTAATCAGGGTACGTGGAAAACTACCTTCAGAGTACAATTAGGGTTGGGAACATCATGGATGTCTAGTCACCTAAATATCCTACAACATTTTTATCGGCTACCCAAGAATTTTGGTACTTTCTCCACCTTGGTACCAAATGGACACTTTAAAACTCAATGCTTTGTTTGTGTAGTGTAGTCTAATGCAATGTAAGCTGTATATAAATTATACATAACCAATCATTTTAAAGGAAAGCAACTTTCTTAACCAACCTTAAAAAACTTATCTATCTTTGTCAGATTTATCCTTTTCTTGGCATCCAGCTTATAGATGTTACTGACATTACCATCCATGAGGTACAAGCCAAAGCCCATTACCTGAAGAAAGAACAAAACAAAGAAATATTGCAGGCAAGTCATGTTTATTTAAATCATTTTAACCCACTCTTCAACCAAAAACAGATTTGACATTGGCATGCAAAGTTCATGACAATATGACAACCCCTGTTCCCTGGGTTTACAATCTAAACAATGCAGGAACCAAAAGAAAGTTGGGAGGGAGGCAGAAAAAGGCAAACTCATGTGAAAGTTCTTTGTTCCAAAGTTCTCATAAATATTCTTTCTGACCAAAGATGGAAGTAAGTTTCCTGCATCCACTCTTCTCAGGATAATGGAGCAATCCATAAACTAAGGATTGATTTACAAGTGATTTTTTTAATAAATTGAAAGTTACAAAGCCCTGCAAGTGTCCTTCAACTTAAAAAACCCATTCAAAATAGGTAGCTCATAACACAGACTACATATTTATCACAATCTGTATTTTCCTTGTCTACCTACCATTAGCTGCACTCTTTTTATGTGCATGAAAATGCCTAATCAATCCTGAGTTTTTGTTTCTTTAAAAAAGGAAGAAGCCAACTTTCTCTGACCAACTCAGTGCTTCAAGTCAGGACTACCTGCAAGCACCCAAAACTGTTTGTACTATTTATATTCTTAGCACTGGAAAAGACTGTGCTGCACAACTGGCCATAAAGACAGACAGCTAGATTTGTAAAATATTCCCTAGTATCCCAAGAGGCAGTGAAACAGATCTATAGGAAGAATAAACACAATATGATATGGGATCCTTAAGAACATTCTAGGTAACAGAACATAGATCTGTAAGCATTTGAAGGATAAATACCTCAAATTCTTTAAGGAATTCAGATTCTAAAACTGTTAAACTGATTTTCTGTAAAGTCTATAATTTCTATTTTTAAGGAGACATACTGCTGAAGATTTTCCAGGCATAAATATACTGCTCTTTTCAACTTTTTTTAAAGTATTGTCACATTCTTTTAAGTAAATTCCAACATAATGAATTGATACTGAGCAAATTAGTTCCACTGAACATTGCAACTGGCAGATTTGCTTCTGCATCTCCTTTACCCAGTATGACAAAATAGTACAAAACTGTACTAATTCTAACTTGGTGTTTTCTCCTCATAAAGACTATGTCCTCCATTTGTGTGGAAGAAAGGGGAAAATATAAAAGCGAGGCTGCAAATACTTCAAACGTATGTTAATTATCCTGCATCACTTGGCAATGATATTTAACATTTTAAGGATATTTGCATTGTTCACCAGCCTGATCTCTACCCACACACCACCCATGATCTTGAAATGCCTTCTGGAACCATATCTTACTTTTAGAAGCATGTGCTTTTCATTAGGTGTTAGATACATCTTGTTTTCATAATAATCTACGCATAAATTCACAATATCAGCAAGCAGCTCTTCATAGCCAGGAATCACCTCAAGTTGTTGCTGTAAAGACTAGAAAAAAAGACCCATTTAAAATTATATATGGCTATAAATAAAAAAAATCAAGATGCAGCTGTAGTACTCATATAATACCCAGGACACACATAAATTACTCAGTTTTATATTATTATTAACCACATAAATGCTAAGTTCTGTATAAAATGTTAAGGAACAATTTTCATATTGCAGTATGGTATATTTTAAAACATACTTGCGTAATCTTGTTGTGGTTGGCCAGAAACATGGAGAGATTCTGGGATTCTTGGATTGACTGAGGATCAGCCATTTTACGCAAAAATTGGGCAGCCCTTTTAAGAAAATGGAAGGAAAAAAGTTAATCCTCCAAGAATAATAGTGTGTCCCCATTGCAACACCACTCTAGCATTTCCACTGACTTCTGCCAGATTTACATCCACGTTTGTTGTGTGCTGACAACACCTCAAAGTCAGCTGCATGAGTAAAGACTAGTTGCTATATTTTAATTCATCACTGATGAATGTGAAATCCACACACTGGCACAAAACCTAGGCAATATTGTAGTTTTGGAAGCATTTCACTGCAGAACATGAGAAGCCAATGCCAAGCAGACAAAAGAAGAGAGGTATCTCCAAGACCTTCTTACATATTCACAATGGATCAGATCTAGACTCCCAATTTTTAACAACATTTCAATCCTTATGCAACCATGTACAAGTGCTTGTCATTTTCAGCTGCCAGGTAAAAGAGCTGAACTCTTAGAAAACTATGTTCTCGGTTTCTTCCTCCACCACCCTTAAGGTGGTGCTAGATCTCCAAAAGGAATAGCCCACTTAGATACTAGGCAGTTGATTTTCCTGCAAAGATAGATTTTCTAAAATGAAACAATGAGAAATTAATGAGACAATTCATCAAAATTAACATTATAATCAACCACCTGGCATATTTCTCTCAGGGAGCATTTTACATATGTTACCTCAGAGGAGCAGCCTTTCATTGCCTAAAGCTTTTAAAAACCTTATCTTGCCCCCATCCTCATAAGCAAGTCCCAGTATATACAGTGACTAATTGTGTATAAGGTTGCAACATAAGGCACACAATATGGAAGTATGCACAGACCACACTTGGACTTTTTTTCTGGCAAAAACGACAGCCCAAACACTTTCAGTACATTTGGCTATAATGAACTCAGTACTTAATTTTATTTAATGTTAGTACGGCTACTTAAGACATGGCAGCTTTCCCCACTATGCTAGATTTACACGATGTGGGCTGAAACTTAAACACATTCCAGAAGTAGCACTGCATTTACATGGTCCAGGCTGGGGTACTGGCACTGAAATTCTTCAGAGGCTTACCCTAGTTTTAATAAAGATAAGGCTGAACCAATGTAATCTCCAGTGTAACACTGGAATGCTTCTGTAAAAATGTTCATAGAAGCATATGGTAATAAAAATGCAATGTTAAAATATTTCTAGGAAATAATGAAAATTGTTTGATATCTAATCTGAGAGGTGGGAATACAAGTGTTTTCTATATACAGAAAATGTGTGTGTGTGTGAACGCAGCGAACGTCTAGTGCCATCTTGTGGCCAGTTTGTTCATATCCTAAGAGAAAGAAAACAAACATTCACCTATTACCCATATGAGTGAACTGTTAAAGACTCAATCTTGAACTCTCTGCAGAATGCCCATATTAAACATATTAGGTTTTAAAATTGCAAACATTGTATGCTTTCAGCATATAAAAAGGCACCTTACATGCATTCATAAAATTATTAAAATAGGTGCACACAACAGCATGTTGTCAGTAGGGAAGTGTGGGGAATCCATTTGCGGGTAGAAATCCATTCAATCTCCTGAGGCTCCACAGATACTAGCCAACTGTGCAGTGGCCCTCAGGAATCAAGCCACATTCTACCAGTTGCTTCGACCAGCATCACAGCAAGTCAGTTACAGAACAGAGCTAATGAACAGGAATTCAGGGGTAAATCATGAAAATCCAAAGGATTTTCACCCCTCCCTCCCCCACCACTGGATTCCTTACACATACCTATTCCAGACACAGAACATGATTGAATTGAAGATCCACAATGCCAAAACAGCAGTCATGACAGAAGAACACTGCATTAGTTGGTACAATTCAGCACAACAGTATAAAACCCACTGTGGAAGATGTTGTTCCCTTTTCGAACACCTCACCGCTTATAGGCTGAATGATCATTCTTCACACTGCACTTCATATTTTTCAGCTCATCTAAAACAGCAAACATGTTGATAAATTTTCCAAGAGTAATCAGATAAGCTTCAGAGACAAAGTCCTTCCTCCTTTCTGCATGACACAATCTCTTCACCTCCCCACAGAATCTTTCAATTGCGTTTCTCTGTTGATAAAAATAAATTGACGTTTTTAAAAAAAATACATACAAGAGTATAAGCTACATCTCATCTTACTTCAACAGAGCTGGGCCATATCCACAGCTTATACTGATCAGATTTTTCTCTGTTTGGCTATGCACAAAGATTTTTGCATAAGTTATCCACTTAAAATGCTCCACATAGCTATCACAGAAAAAAAAGAGATGAAACAAGAAGAAAACAACAAGAATGAGCAATCATGGAGACCAACAGGAAAAAAGCAAAACAATTGGACTAGTAACTAGGAGACCAACAGGAAAAAAGCAAAACAATTGGACTAGTAACTAGCACCCCTTTACCTGAAAATACATAAAATTCATTAGCTTTGTGACTTCTGGCTCTAGAACTTCCACAGTTTTTTCATAAATTTCCACTCTGTTTGGCTGCTCATTGCATTTCACCTGAAAAGAGGGGTGGGAAGGAAATCAACAATTTATATAGACATTCACACCTATCTGCTTCCCCTAGTTACAACATTTCCACATAGAATGTAACTTTTCCAAATTACGTTAAGCCACATAATACAGCATTTTAGATATTTTTAAAAACAGATCTCAGAAACATTTGACTCAGTGGAAGGCTTACTCATGCTCACTGTCCCACTGATCACCACAATTGAGGTCAGCAAGCAAGAACTTATTCCTCTCCTCAAACACTAAGGATTATACATATATGTGATATGCAGAAGTACAGATCTCATCCAGTACAGCTATTTCCAAGCTATTGTTTGTAGGCTACTAGAAGTTACTAAGCATGTCTTTACATGTTTTCATTTGTAAAGATTCCCACATGATATCACTGTAGGACAAAGGACTGAGCTTGTCTTTCTTGCTTTTTATAGTAAAAGACACTCTCAACACATTACACAATGTGTATGTTCCCCTTTTCATCTGTCAGGCCGGAGAAGCAGAAGAAAGTTTGATAATTATGTGTGCATAAAAGGTCATTTATGCAACTGTAAGAAAGCAAAATGATTTTACCTGAGGGATGGCTCTTGAGCAGCTTCTCCATGTATATAACATGACAGCATATTCTTGGCCTTCTTCCAACATTTCATTCTATAATAAAAACAAATGCTAGTATTTAGACAAAAAAGCAAATATATAATTATACATAAAAGATTACCAAAGCTAGCAATAGCAAAAAGATACGTAAGACAAGAATTACCAACATTGTCCAACTTAACAATTTCAGAAGGCACTCAACCCAAAGCCTTGTGCCACAACACTGACTAAAATTACTTCAAATATTATTCCAATCCTAACCATATGAACAAAGAAATCAACCTTAGTTCTTCCTAGAATCAAAGGAAGGGTCCAGAAGGCCATCAGGTCCAACCACCTGTTCAGTGCAGGACTTCAAGTTGAATTGCTAAACATCTAAGTGTTACAGCCAGATTTTTTAGTTTTAAGGAAAATGATTACAGCTTCAACAGTTAGTCAGCTGCATACAAAACAAAGGGAAGAACACCAAGGTTCCCAGGAGGCTGGAATGGTATGTGTCCAGCGCTAAACACCTGTGTTGAGCAGAATCAAAGAACAGACCAGTCATTGGAAGCTGTCTGCTATCAGCTCAAACCACATGACCACCTAAACCCAATACTGCCTCCTTTGACTAACCATGACTATTCAGGATCTGAGCCAGAGACCTGATGCTTTTTTTAACTGAAGGTGATAGTGATAGAATACTGTTAGACTGTTCCAGCATGCAAACCAGACCTTTTATCATTGAACTGCCCTATCTCCTCAGGCAGAACCTACCTGGGTTTTGAACCTGTAACCTCTTGTACCCTAGGCAAAAATCATTCCTAGAGTAAAAGACTGGAAATAATACTAAACTGTGGTTTATTAAATTAAATAAACAAGCCAGTGAAAAAGTGAGTCCCAAGGCCTTTACTATGGAACATGTAATAAAACAGAAAATTCCCAGGGCATATGAAAAGCAGCTATGACTGAAAAATTAATATAATTACATCCTTAATAAATCATATATAACTTCCAAACTACATAAAATGAATCCTTTTGGTTAAAATAAACACAATAGTTTCTTAATTGCCTTTACTGTACTCAAGTACTGACACAGGAACCCAATTATTTGTTACATTACCTGTTCCTTGCCACCTATTTTTATATTGTTGCTGTTAAAAAAAAGAAAACAAGCAAATAAAAATAAACAAATATTTACCATACTAGAATGAACAGTTGCTTGTTCAATGTATCTTGCAATGCCTGTGACAAATGCATTCCTATCTTCAAAATTGGTGTTGAAGTTTGGCTGCATGAAAGGAAAAATATCCCCAAATGATTAACATTCTTGAAGAAAAAAATATTAAAACAGTGGTAATTCAAAGTTTATTAAAGTGATAAACACATTAATAAGTGCTTCCTTTTACATATGTCGTACCTGATAAAGTAAAGATGACGGAGGGGGCTCAATACATGGTTGCTGATCTGGCAGTGGTAATTCTTCCAAGAGATCTACATTGGACAAAGCGTCCTCCAGGGTGACTTGAGCAGTCATTTTGAGTTTACTGAAAAATAAGCAGAAGTTTTTAAAAAGAAAACAAAGAGTAACACCCATAGCAAGCAGAGGTGACCTATGACAGAGGAACAATTTATGCGCAGCATTTTCGAAGGGGATATTTGGGTCCAATCCCTCTGCTCATGTGTGAAAGAGAACATTAAACATGATAGTGTTTCAACCCATTGTGTTGGTAAAGAGATTCTGAGATATGAAACAAACCACATCCTGGGGAGTTTTAGCTTACTAGTCACCACAGGTAGGAAATATTTTGAAAAAACATTTACCAAACAAAGATGACAAAAAAGTGTTATAACAGTGCATCACATTAAAAAAATTGAAAACCCTTCCTCAAAAAGCATCTAGTTGAAAGAATCACCGCAGTCCCAGTTCTTGGTGCTAAAATCTAGCTCCAGGTCGCAGCCTCTTGAAGTATAAAGCATTTAAAAGCTGTCATATTGTGCCTACAGACTTCAAGAAGCAGTTGGAAGAAAATACTACAAAGAATAAAATATTGACAGTGAAGCTCAGCTCTAAACTTCAGAGTATAGTACTGATCTCCTTTGCAAGCTTACTAAAAACAAAACAACACAACACAAACCCCACAAGAACTTTTCCAGAAACAATAATAGCTGAAAATTTTAAAGAACCCAGAAGTTTAAGTACCACTTGTACTTGATGAGGGTTCAGGGTTCAGCTGCAAATTCCCAGAAAATTCTAAAGTTAATTTCTTCAGCAATCACTGCAGCCAAATCAGACAGAGTATTCATCACAAATTCCTTACTGACCAGCCAAAACAACAACAATTTTTGAAAATCTAACTGTATATCCACTTACAAGAGAAAGTAAAGTAAAAGACTTTATTAAGCAACCTGAAAAATTGTGCTGCTATCCAATTCATGCTGCTAAAAATCCAAGAATAAACAGAAATTTGAGTGATTATAGCACTGCTACTGCATTTGACTGAATTTCAAAACCAAGCAGCACATTTAGGACTTAATATGGCAAAGGTACTTTCAAATTTTACAGAATGTATAACCACCTTCAGAGATTTGCTCCAGACATGCAGTCTGGGATTTTGACAAACTTATCAAAATCAAGCTTTTGCACAACACAGCCTTACTTCCCACCTACTTCGGATTTTTCCATTTTTTACAGCATAAGAAAGAAACTGGTCAATGTTTGGGAATATTTACAATCTATCAAGAAATAAACTGCCGTGTGAATAGTAAAGAAGCTTGTTTCATTCTGGGCAAACCTTCAATGCCTTAGAATTCCATGCTAAAAGTATGATGGAGAAAGCAAAGAAATAGAAACAAACTGAAAGCAATCATTCAGAAAATGAGACGGGTTCAATTTCATGTTTTTTCATTGATTCTTGGTTCAACCCTCCACTGCTTTTCCCCTCAGCTCTTTTTATGGAAATGAGCGCCTGGCACTGGGCAGGTTCACATGCAACCAGGAGTCATGGTGGAAACTATGTCAAGGCTTGTTGTTTCATGTAAACCCAGCAACATTGCCGGAACCATGAAGAGAAATAGCAGTTTGCTGTACCATTCCACCGTGGCTTATTTTTACATCTGAACCCAGTTTCCATGCTTCCATGCCGGTTTGCACATTTCCACAAGCAAGTTTTGTGGCAAGAGTGGCCACAGCTGCAGCAGACACTCCAGCCTACACTCTTTACTATACATGTCAGCCTAGCAACTGCAGAGGTGGCTTGCGGCTACGCTGTCATTAGCTGCTCCACCCCCTCTTCTCTGCCTGCACACAGCCTTCCTAATGTCCACCTGAAGCTCTGGAATCTTGGCAGCAGCAGCGAATCACCGTCCCCTATCCACCACCACAGAGGCAGGATGAAAATATTCCCTACAGCGAGCCAAGAAACTTTCCTAGGCAGATGCCCACATGTGCTCCCTCAGGAAACTCCTCTCTGCAGGACACGCCAGTTCCATCCCTGGATGGAAATCATGCATGCATGGTAGCCACTTGACTATCTGAACCCAGGACCCAAGGTAAGAGAGCATGTCATACAGTAAGAGTAAGGCTTAGCTTTGTTTTATGTCTGAATACAGGCTTTGAAGAGAAGAAGACTAGACCAGATAGAATTTTCTTTGTTTTAGTAATATTGATGGTTTCTTCTGTTTTTATTGTTTTTGAATAGGCAAAGTTAGCATCAGAATTCCTATACTCCTTTAACCTCTGCAGCATCCTTTCATCACCCCATACGTACATTGATGGAACTCTGATTCACTTCTGCATGTTACTGCCACCCTACAAAGAAGGCAGAGCAGGCCTTAACTCACTAATTTAGAACTGTTTAAAAAACTGTTGTGAGACTTGCTCAGGTGTTCACATGCAGGTGTCTGTAAAGGGCAGCCGTGCCTGGTCAACGTCTCTTCAACACCCACCCATGTGCCCACACATTTCCCCAGAGGATTTTCAAAGAGCAGTCCGTGGGTTTTGACCGGGATATATGGCAGCATATGACTCTCAAAGCTGTCAAAACTATTTTTCTCAAGAAAAATAGGGGTATACTTTTTCACCTTCCTGAGCACCTTGACAGAAAGTGGAAAATGCACAACAGCATATAGTCTACTGGCCGTGGGGGTTAGGAAGAGGAATGTAAATCACATCATTCCTTTTTCACTCACACCTCTGACTTCTCTTCACAACTCACCTTTTAACAGCTGTCAAGAAATACCAAAGCAGAAAAAAACATGCTGGAACAGCTTTCAGGCAATGTTAGATGTGGAACCTGCTGTAGCCAGGCAGCAGGTTCCCCCAAGATGTGGTCCAAGAAAGCTCCAAATCCTTACACTTGCATAACTGCTAAGTTTCATAGTAGTTTAAGAGTAGCACTTTTTAATGCACATTCTTGCAACAAAAAGGTTCCAAAAGCTGGTGTCACAAAGCTACTTTGAAGGGACTTTCAGCTCCTCTCAAAATGAGGACCAGCTTTCAAAATGTCATTGGGGGCAGGGGAAGAAAAAGGGAGAAGCTGCAGTGAGAAAAACAGCTCAAAACTGCAGAACGGATGGGGGTACACTTCTCTTGCATTTTCCCCTGGAAGAAGGGGGAGGAGGGAGAGGTTTCAACAACCTACAGTGAGCCCAATTCTCTGCCAGTTGTTTAGCCAACAGTCAACCTACTATGGCTTATTGTCAGAGTGCCCTGGCATGATGTGCAAATACACCCAATATTGCCCTCAGAACTTGAGCTATTACAGCAAAACTCAATAGGCATATTTATAACGTAGGTCTCCAGTTGACGTTCTGACACTAGCCTGGCCTTTACTTTTTCAGGTAAGGATGGAAAACTCCAAGATACACAATGATGCCATATCTGTAGCAAAGCCCCTCAAACATCCTACTATACTAGTAGAACCCTACAGACTTCAATAGGACCAAATCTGCTTATATTAATATTCAATCACTTAACAAAACTTATTGTTCAAAATGGAAATGGTAATTCCAAAATGGAATTAGTCTCTCACTGTGAACTAAATTTTTAAATAAATAAAAAGCATTTCAGCAGAATGCTTCACATACAGATTTGTTCAGGGAGGGGAAATGAACTTTTTGCAGTTTAAGAGGTCCATATACTTCTTATACTTCCTAATTTTAACTTCAACTGACCCAAGGGATCTGACCAAAAGAAAAACAAAAGAAAAAGAAGCCATCAGCACAAATGCCATAATTCAAAAAGGAAAAAATCAGCAAATTTATCAGACTGCTAGCCCTTTTCTGTGTTCCAGGATTATACAGTATTTTAAGTAGTTTACAAAAGGATCCTTCTTACTACAACAAATTATACTGACATTAGGTAACTGTGCCTGTTCTTAAGTTACAATTCTATGCCACATCCTTAACATTCAAGGATATATTTATCAAGATACTAAACTGCATTTTATTCAGAAGAGGGTGTGGTAGAAAAGGAGTGAAGCAATTTTATGAATAAAAAGCAGGCTAGTAAAACTTTTGGAAGGCTAGTAACTTTTGTGGACTTATTTAAAAGGATGGTATTTGATAACCTCAGCAGCACAAGTGAAAGACCCTCTCTCTGTTGTTCAGACAGCAAGGGGCCAAACAGCAGAGCCACTGATGTTTACCAGGTTGGTTCATATGGGAAGAGATGGTTCTCACGGCCTTGGTTAGTGGACCCAGAAACAAACTGTGCTCAGGAATAATACAAACTGCACCTGAGGGTAATGCTCAGAAATGTGAGTGGCTCAGTTGCTCTGCTGGGCATATGGAGGGAGTTTTGTGTTTACCACAACCAGTATAAAAATGCAGCTGGCTTCTGAAGCAAACTAATGGGGTACTCCTTTCCTCACTCTGCAAGCCTGTTTGACCTCTATGCGAGATGCAAAGAGCCAATACGCCTTCCTGCACACCCAGTACAGAAATGCAGGGGGCTGCTGAAAGGAACAACAAAGGACATTACTCTTTTTTCCAGAAGTCTACACAATTATGATTTGGCATGTCTTCCAGAGTTCCAACTGCCTGGCTCTAACACTGCTCATCTTTCAGCAGGCAGAAAAATGATTGTTCTACAGAGCTTTTGAGGTAGGTAGTAGGTAACAGATTTGGGGAGCTTGATTTTAAATTTGTTACTGAGGTCTTTTGGCTGTGTTTCATATAAATCCTAATTATAGCCTTTTATTGCTGTAAGCAACCCTAGGCGTTTTTCAGATAGAAAAGACAGGCAACTCTGTTTGAATAAATAAAAGTGCATCTCAACAGAGAACCACAACATGATTTGTTATATTCCAGCAAGCATTTATTTCTAGGAGGAAGTGCTCACATCACAAAATTCATATGCACACACAAATTCTCATGTATTCTCTCCCACATAATGGAAACAAATTATGGGCACAATAAAACAAGAAATTCTCCTCCACATACTTCAGTAAAATTAACAATGCACAGCAGCAAAGGCTCCAACTTGCTGTCAGAGAACTTAAAGGCAGAAGCACAAATGCCATTTATGCAATTCCACAAACAGACATTCATCTTGTACAAGTTATATTCTTATTTAGCCAAACTGTGCACATAAATGTTCACATAGAGGAAGAGGATGTCTGGACATGGTTTCCCTTTACTCATGCAAGTTTCACAAGGCACTTATGTGCTCAAACAAAGAAATGCAAGAATAGATACTCCATGTGCATGACTTCCTCTCTTTTACTTCTGCTCAGAAAATCCTGACCTAACTACGGGAAAAATGAATAAATTCACATACTACAGAGACAAAATTTAAGCAGAGAAAAAAATGAAAAAAGTGACAAATACAGAATGCAAAGGAAACACAGGAAAGGGTCCTTCTTCCTGAGGGACTATCTTCCTATCACGCTCTCAACTGAACACAGTAGTGGTAGAAAAACCACATAGCCACTTGTGAGTAATTAATTCCAAAAGAGTACAGCATACACAAATGAATGACATGGTTAAATCCACACTAACAAACTTTTTGTTTCTATATTATTTTAACTATCCACCACCTGTACCACATTCACCACACATTTGTTGACATTTTACATAGAGCAGTGGTAATGAAAATTTCAATAAAATAGAAGCAATGGACCTACAACAACCACACCCAAATTAGTCCCGATGTACAGCAGTGATAAAATCCAATAAAATACAGTATAAACAAAGAAGATAAAAATTAATTATTGCTCAGTAAATAAAAGGTTTTTACTTGGTGCCTAAAAGAATAAAACGTAGGCTCCAGGTGCAACTATTTGGGTAGCTGATTCTGTAATCAAGGTGCTATAACCAACAAGGCCCTTCCCTTTGTAGGTACCCCCTTAGGACAAATCCAACTCCTTCTCTATCTCATTTTGCTGTGATAGGCAATCGCCATAGGCCTAGTTAGTAAACTTAAATCTGGGCTGTACCATATCAGAATGTAGATGAGGAACAGGCTAAATGTGCCACAGAAGAGGGAACAGTCTCAAAGGCACAGACTAGTGATTTCAATAGATCCAGACCTTAGCATTAACACTTCCTGGCATACCACACATTAAATCAAAACAGCATAGGAAAGCAGAGGTATTCCTAACAGTTACTGCTAGGAGATGGTCTCTGTTCACATGCATTCACATGCTGCATTATCTTGAAGGATGGGAAACTAGAGCATGCCAGACCACCTTTTACCACTGCTGCCCCCCTCAAATGAGGTGTGGCCCTCAGGATCACCCATAACAACCACCAGGAAGCTGGGGGGGGGGGTTCAATCTCTTTTATATCGTCTCAATTTTCTTAAAAACTGACCACAAATACCTAGTGTCCTGGAATTTGGGCAGTTTTGGATCTTCAGTCCTTGAGAGTCTAACTCAGGGGACTCAAACTCACCTTACCTGGGGGCCGCTGGAAGTAGAGTCAGGGTGAGGCTGGGCCGCATCAAGTATTCCACCACCGTGGTGGTGGTGGGCCGCTCATCCGGAGGCCGGCCCGGGCGCCGCTGGCACTTTGAAGGCCACAGGGCCCCTCCCCCGGGCCCCGCCCATCCCGGCGCGCAGCTTAGAGGGAACATTGCGCCCAGGGTAACAACTCACGCAGGTGTGTGTGAGAAAAACGCGGGCCGCACTATCACTAAACTTTGATATCAAGTGGGGGCCACAAAATATCATTCCACAGGCCGCAATTGGCCTGCGGGCCGCAAGTTTGAGACTCCTGGTCTAACGCATGTTACATCTTGCTCTAGCTTTCCTCAGTAACAACTTTCTAGGTTTAAAAATGCGGAATTGCTGATCAGAAGGATTGTTCCAGCAACTTTTCATCCAATTTATGTTCAATTATTAGTTACACAGTGTTACACCTTTAGGACATGATCCTATGCATACATAAATATATGTATATATTTAGACAGAAGTCTTCCAACAACTCGCAGCTTTCCCCAGTCTGTAAGACATGCATAGAATTGTGCCTATAAGACTCTTTCCTCAAGACAGAGCTTATGTTGCAAAAGCATTCATTTTCTTAGCATTCAACTAAAGCATTTTAAACTGTTTTAATATGTTTGCTTCTTCAGTTTTCTACATTTCATGAATGATGGACAATAAGCTTCATAAAGAAAAAATATCCTATGCATCCTAGAGTGCACATATGTTAAGTGCTACTGAACTGATGTTCTTTGGCTCTTAACTGGTCAGTTAAAATAAAATGCAAAACATTAACTAGGGATATTAAAGTTGTTGTTTGTGTGCAGGTGTTAAGATTTAAGGCGTTTTCCATTTCAACTCCCTAATGACCACATGTAAAATCTGAGAGTCTCAGTACTACAAATACAGAAAACCCTTACAAAAGTTAATTAAGGGCTGATCCATGAAAAGAATATTAACTATATAATTATTTTGTGTCATAGTTACATGAATGCTGTAGCTAAAATATGTGCACTGCCCTAAAATCCAACCAATGACCTGCTCACAATCCAGTTATGTCTGAATGCTTATATTTATTCCTGAGATTCAGACAGCCTAAATCAACTTATCATTTTAATTATGTAACATCTAACAGCACACTTTCCAATTTTGTCAAACAGTAGTATTAGAGCAGTGAAATGTATGTGTCCCGTAAAGGGAAATACACAGATTTTGCAATTTGTGAAAGCCACACTATGTTGTAACTTTTCAAAATTCATTTTAGCATAATAAAATAAGACCATTTTGATCTCTTTATAAGGCAAGATATTACAAATAACAAAATACGAGTAGTAGGCTTGAAAACTCTCTGGACTTAATTACAAAGTATTTCTTATAAACAGAGGTATAAAACATATAATCTTGGATATACAGTGCAGGGCACTGATTCTGGCGGGCTAATAACATACTAAGTCAAGGTGCAATTTTATGCAGGCTTTTCCTTAAAAAGGAAACAGGCACTTCAACTCCCAGCGTGCCCTCAGCCAGGCATTTACTGTTGGGGCATGCTGGGAGTTGTAGGGCTTTCTTTTATGTCCAAAGAGGCATAGAATTGTATTTTTGTCTTGCGTTGCAAACCTCAGCAAGAGGCAACATTACAAAAAGTTTCCACACACGTTGTTTCCTTAACTCTTTCCCTGCGTGCAGACATGCTCTTCCACTCGTAATATGCCCTTCCTCACAAGGCTGTCCTAACATCCAGCGGCTAACACGCTTATTGGGACTGAAACAACCTCTCGAAGAGTTACACCTGAGGAAGGAAGACGTGACCCTCCAGCCTCCTCCTCAGCCCCCAGCAAAGGTGCTCTTAGTGCTAAATAAGCAGGCAGGGCTCGTCGGAATGGGCGAGCCTGGATTTTGTTAGTCTTCCGAACTTCAAGGAAGTTTAGCTCGAAGCAAGCGAGGCCCGCCCGAATTCATGTAAGCTTCGTTGTCCTCCCCATTTAGGCCCCACAGTGGGATTTGCCGCCTGCATGCCTCCGACCCCGGCGCTGTTTGCAGAAAGGAAAAAGCTGCTTACCGAAGGAGTCAGGCTTCCTCCGAGGGCAACTAGAGAGAGGAGGAGGGGCGGCGCCACACGGACAGGAAAGTTTTTCTCACCCGCCTTCCCGGAGAGAGGCCCGCGGCTTTGCTTCCCTTTCGGCCAGCCACGGCTGCAACTAGCCCCCGAGCCGCAACTCCCTCACTGCACCCCCGCGGCGCAAAGGCGAGAAGGTGGTGCTTTGACGAGTTGGCCTCGCCGGGGCCGCTTTTCCCTTTCCCAGGGCCGCGCGGAGATGGGAGTTTCCTGCCTGAGTCACTCAAACGAGGACGCAGTGCCAGGAAACACCCTTCCTCCCGCTCCAGCTCCTCCCTGGCCCCGTCCCAAAGCGTCGTCCTTCCCTCTCGAAGGCGGCCGGCCTTGCCAAGGAACGTCCGGCTCCTCCTCCTGAGACGGCGCTCTTGCCTCCCATCTACACACAACAGTGTGTGGCGTAAAGGAGCGGAGAGACTCAACATCTCGGCTCATCCCACAACAAAGTTACGTTCTGTAGGCACAGCGCTACTCCCTCGCTGTGCCTTAACTGGTTTGGAGCACGAATCCCTGGTTCTCTCTCCAGTAGCTAACACAGAAGGACTCCAGGGTGATCGATGCAGAAGTCTGCCTGTTTCATATATTGCATATCTTTCTATAACTGTGCGCCAGCATGAGGAAATCTTAGAACGAGGTTGTCGAGGAAGTAGTGGTCTGTTCTCTTTATATTAATGTTTTGGTAACCTAAGAGTTCCAGCAACTGGGAAAGGTTGGTATGTATGCGTTAGATGAGGGTAAAAATTGCCTTTTAAAAAGCAATAATCACATTCATAAACTTCAAGGAACTGACTTTTTATTGAATATATTTATATCCTATCTTTTAGGTCATATTTCTCAAAGGCCAGTTTATAGTAATAAATACCCTATACAACAAACTTTAAAATAGTTTTAAATTCTGAAATAGGCTCAATATTTTCAAAAAAAAACTATGCAAGTCAATTCTTTCTTTAGAATTTGGTGTTAGAACTGCAGATAAGCAATTATGCTCAATCAGGTGACTATAGATCTTCAGTCATAGCAAACAACTTCCTTTAGAATTTGTTCCTTCATACCACATTTGAGTCACATAGCATTACTGAAAAACAGGCTTGGGCAAATTGAGATGCTTCCAAACAAGTCTTTTATGAAGCTATTACCCTGCTCCATTCTTGGAAGTTTAAAGTATAAGTGCCTTCTACTTGCGACCTGCCTGCATATTCTTTTGGTCTCTTCCACCTTTAATGCAGAAGCACCATTAAGGAGAAAAAGAGGGAACAGTTGCACAATGCATCTGTTATGCCCTTGTGTCTGGAAGCATCCTAGGTGTGAAATAGGAATAGAGTCCTCAGACACTTGCAGGGATTAATTTGTTAAGTGTCTGGCGGAAAAACATATTGAAGCTGCAGCAGTGGAAGGATAGCAGTTGTTCAGCTCCATGACTATTAATCTGTTGTGTGCTCCAAAGTTCAGTGCTCCATGCTGTCGAACATCTGTACAAAACCACTAGGTGGATTAGCAAGGTCATTTGGTGTTGATGCCATTATTATGCTGATACCCAGCTCTCTCTCCCTATCATTTGAGTCAGGTATGGCTGTGCAGGTACTCGATGCTGGAATGGGCTGGATGATGGCCATTAAAATGAAACTGAATTCTGTCAAGGCAAGTTTTGTGTCTTGGTCTATGAATTAAATCACATTCCCAAGGTATGGTTGCAGTCCCTCTGAAAGGTATATAGTCTGGAAGTTCCCATAGATTCATCTTTGTCACTGGAGGTTTTTTTTTTTAATTATTATTATTTATGTTTTTATGTATTCTTTGAGAGCCGCTCCAAGGCTTTGTTGCAATGGGGGCGGCATAGAAATGTTTTAAATAAACAAGTAAGTGATCTGCAGTGTTTCTGGCCTGCTTCCACTGCCTCCAGCTACAAATATTCCTGGACAGGGTAGCTGGCAACAGTAATTCATGAGCAATAACTTCACATCCAGATTGCTGCTTTATACTCATAAGCTGCCCTTTGGGGCATGGAAGCTGCAGCTAATACAGAATGCAATAGCTAAGTTACTGACAGAAACATCATATGGAAACCTTGACACTGGCTCTAAAGAAACTGTACTGACTGCTAAGGAGTTTCTGGTGTGAATGCAATGTGTCAAGTGACACTTAGAATGGCTTGGGTCCTTGATATCCGAGGAAGCATATCTCTACACACAGAGGCCATGATGATGATCAGTTTAGGGATCTTTCCTCTGCATCTCACCACTAATAACTGTATGGTTTGTGGTAATACCAAAGAGGGGAATGCAATGCACTATGAACTGCTCTCCTTCTGGAAGCCTGACGAGTACAAAGGTTAGTTTCATTCTGACACAATGTCAGGGTTTGGCTATTTACCCAAACTTTGGGGATTTAATTTCTGCAACTTAGTTCAGATTGATTTGCTTGGGTTATGTTTAAGTTGATTCTGGACTGACGATGCTTATGACATAAAATTGTTTTATTAATTGTAGCCCACCCTGAGATCTGTCAACACAGAGCAGGTGAGAAATACTGCAATAAAATAGACATTTGGAACCAGTTATATGAGAACTCACAATAGATCAATTTAAATCAAAGGATAGCCCTTTATAAGGTCCATTTAAAATGCTTTCTGTACTTGAGATACAGTCTGTGGATCCCGTACATAAGATCAGTGCTAGTCAGGAGAATTTTATATTACTGGTAATTTCAAGCAGTTTGGTCTCCCCCACCAAAGAAAAACTGTTTTAGTACTATTTGTTTCTCCTCTCCAGAATATGAGAAGGGAAAAGTTTCTTTCATATTTCAAATTATGAAGCAGCTGGTAAAGGCTATTTGCTTCCAGCAAACTGATGAAAACCAGTGAAAAATAGTGGTTTTAGATTTGAAAGCCCTACAAGACTTGGGTTCCAGCTGTGTTTGGGAAAGTTTCTTGTAACATAGCCTCATCTCATAAGTTTAAATCTTTTGAGCTAATCTTATTCTTATCTCTGCTTTAGGTAGTGGCTAAGTTGGCCTTTGGAAGCAGACAAGTTGACCTTCAATGTAGCAGACAAGTTGCACTGGAAGTCTTTAAAGAAGGCAGGATTACCTGTTTCCTCCTCCTGCTAAAGAAGGCCAAAGACTTTTGCAAGCCATCCAGTTCTCAATATAATAGCATTTTGTATGTAAATTAAGCAAATGTTTACGAATGTTAGCACTGGTGCTTATTAGAATAGACAGATTCCCATTCTCAAATATAGCAAGAAGCAGAACACCAGGCACAATAACAAGCTTCTTTATTAAAGCAACAGCATTTCCCAGGAAGTTACATTCAGAATAAAACAAAAATAAAGTAGAACTGCATTTGCAGTATAGAGAAGGAATTATCTTTACATACTATATAAACTAATAATACAAATACAGAACATCCTATTACATTAATTGCCATGATATCAATTAAGACTGCAAAACTTAAATGAATTTTCAAAAGCTGTCAGGCATTCCAGATGTTAATTTTGGGCAGTATCCAATGGACCATTTATGTTCCCTTTTTATTATTGTTTTTGCCACGTTGATTCCATTGTGCAAGTGGTGAGTCCCACTAATTATGTGTGGAATAGACCTACCACTTGCACAAAGGAGATTTGGTACTTCCTTGAAAAAGTCCTGAAATGAACAGAAAGATCTAATTTCTGGGAGGAGGCAGGTGAGAGAAGCTCCCTTATGTGACCACTAGTGACCTGTTTCCTTCCAGAAATGAGTTTGAGTTTTCACTCATTTCAAAACTGCTCTGTGCTAAATTGCTGTTGCACAAGCAGTGGGGATGGCTCCTGCAATGCAGTCAGGAAGGTAGAAAAGCCACATTGGATACTATCCTTTATATTGGGAATATTCTTATCTATAGATAAGAGTATATTCTACCCTTATTTCTGATAAGTTAATATTGGCATAAAACACTTTAACAATATCCATTCATTTCCATGGAAAAAAATCAATAAAATGGTACCATTTGTCATGATGACTATGAATGTGGAAATTTCCAATCAACCAACAAGTCATTACATCTTAGGAAGAGGAAAGGTGAATTCAGTCCAATGATTCCTGATAATATATTACTATCACTGCATTTATGTATAGGTAGCTAGTTCTGACAAAGGACCCAATAGGAATTTAAAAGGCTTTTTTGCAGCATTAATTTTACTGTTTGTTCCTCACAGAGGAAAAAAACAGACAGGATCTGGCCAGATTAGCATTTAATATTATATAAAACAGAATATAAATAATTGTATCATTAAATATTTTATTTACATGCAAAAGTTTACAGTTTCAAGCACAAGCAGCTGTACATTATCCACAGATATTTAAATTCTAGCACAGAGAGTACAGTTCCTTGAAGGCTGAAGCTATGTCAAGCTATGTCAAATAATGCAGTAACTCAATGTTGGCAGGATGAAGCTCCAAGAGTTTGAGTAGTTCAAGTGAATCTGTATTTTGCTAACTTTGTTCCATTCCAGCTATGAGTGATAAAGCTAAAGACTCCACTGTGAACCAAAACACAAAGTGTAGTTGTTTAATGTATGACATTTGCATTTGTCAATGATTAAGATCAAAACAAGGAGAAAATAACTTGAACAAGACCATGGCACAACTAGGGAGACTATGCCATTTTTAACATTAAAGTTACACATTTTTCTAACAGGATACTTATTATTTCTTACCAATATTCCCTGCTATATACATCTAGAAATACTAGATACTGTGCCAGAAAAAAATAGACTGAAAGCATTAAGAAAGCAGTACAACATGTTTTACAACAATTGCCTAGCAATATCAAATAAGCCATATGAATTATTTTTCTGAATACTCACAATGTGGGAACGAACCTCTACAGACTGCTTTGTTTAGTACTGTCACAAGGAACATGTGGCAATTTTTAAAATCTGATTCCATCTTGGTTATGGACTCCATCCTAAAAATAGTATTAGATATTTTAAGACAATAGTATAGACAAAAATTACATTTTACTGTCAAATAATGTCCTTTTTAAGAGAACAGGAAAGGTTTTTTGAATTAGCTTGTCTTGGATGGTACACATTTTAATTGTAAATATGTAAGTAAATAGCAAATGAAATCTTTTATTCAACTGCAGCCTTAATAGACTTAATCTGCAAGTCATTCAAGGCTTTCATTTTATAGCAAGCTGTATAGCGAAAGCCCAGTGGAACAGGTAGTCACCACCCATCTTTGCCACTATCACACATTTGCCAGTAATGTGTGCAAATTCAGAGACAGTAGACCCAGAACATAATCTAGTATTGCACTGTATGTTCATTTTACATAGCATACAAAGTAAGTTTGTAGCTTACATAGCTACAAAGTAATCTTAGCATCACAGCAATTACCACTGTCACCAAATGCAGGTTGGTATTAGATGTGCACTTTCAGTTGTGTTAGGAGTGGATGCATACACTTAATGCTATCCACCCCTTCTACCAGCAGTGGATCATGCTATTTCTCCATCTTGTTCCTAGAAGCTGCAACACAATGGAGGAGGGCACAGGAAAGCCCTGCATCAAAAGTGGAATATGAGCTACAGTTCCCTAGATCCAAACTATCTTACCATACTTTATTGTAAAGGAAGAATTTAACTGCCCACAGAAGACTATATTCTCAAGATATTGGGCAACTGAACACAATGCATCTGGTTTATCTACTTGTAAGAGAGGTATACATCTCTGCAATAGCAGACTAAGGGATTGTATCCAATGTTAGTATAACTTAAGTCCCATTCATTTAAATATGCCCACTAGAAGACTAACATTGGATAAAATCCTAAATCGTTGCTTGACAAACCCGTAATTGTCACAAAGCAAAAAACATTTCAAAACAAAATTTCAGCATGTCCAAGGCACAAAAACGTAATTCTTTCTATTGTTGACCCAACTACTACCTCCGATTTATTTTTTGCATGTACAATTTCCAGCCTTATCTTTAAAGGGCATGCTGATTATTCAGCCAACATGTGCCTAAAGCTGATAAGATCCTGCTTAAGAGAATTTCATTCTTTTTACATAATTGGTCTTTTACCAGCTCCACTGCATCCTAGTCATAATATTTCATGCAAAGGATAAGTGTCAGGAAAATGCTTGATGCTGTAAAGTAGCAACACAACTGATTATACATATGCTTACTTCCAAGCTCCCAAACCAGCTTGCCAACGTTCTGCAAACATCAGAACTAGGTTCAGCACTTTCATTATAGCTTCTTTCACAAAACTAACCTGGAAGTGACATTTAAAAAGTAGCATGTAAAATTCGTTTTATTTCGTGGCTTAGGGTAGTGCATTCATTCTCTCTCTCTTGCTCTCTCTCTCTCTCTCTCTCTGTGTACACACACACACTCACACACACTATATATGTATGTATGTATGGTCTTTCCCAGCAAACTTAACTGATTGCATAGCTTTACCCAATTTTTAAATAGTTCCTCCTAGTCTTACAGAAGTTTTCAGTGCTTCTCCTAAATCAAGCCCTCTAGGGGTTTCTAATGTAGCCTATAGTGTTATTCAGCCTAAGAAGACAGTGCCCTTCACAGGACTAATGACCTAATTCACCAATACTGCATGGCACAGTGATTACGATACACAGTATATCACTGAAGTGAGTACACCCCTCACATTTTGTAAATATTTCATTATATCTTTTCATGTGACAATCCTGAAGAAATGACACTTTGCTACAATGTAAAGTAGTGAGTATACAGCTTGTATAACAGTGTAAATTTGCTGTCCCCTCAAAATAACACACAGCCATTAATGTCTGAATCGCTGGCAACAAGAGTACACCCCTAAGTGAAACTGTCCAAACTGGGCACTATTAGCCATTTTCCCTCTCCGGTGTCATGTGACTCATTAGTGCTACAAGGTTGCAGGTGTGAATGGGGAGCAGGTGTGTTAAATTTGGTGTTACTGCTCTCACTCTCATACTGGTCACTGGAAGTTCAACATGGCACCTCATGGCAAAGAATTTTGAGGATCTGAAAAAAAGAATTGTTGCTCTACATAAAGATGGCCTTGGATATAAGAAGATTGCCAAGACCCTGAAACTGAGCTGCAGCACGGTGGCCAAGACCATACAACGGTTTAACAGGACAGGTTCTACTCAGAACAGGCCTCGCCATGGTCGACCAAAGAAGTTGAGTGCACGTGCTCAGCATCGTATCCAGAGGTTGGCTTTGGGAAATAGACGTATGAGTGCTGCCAGCACTGCTGCAGAGGTTGAAGGGGTGGTGGGTCAGCCTGTCAGTGTTCAGACCATACACCACACACTGCAACAAATTGGTCTGCAGGGCTGTCGTCCCAGAAGGAAGCCTCTTCTAAAGATGTTGCACAAGAGAGCCCGCAAACAGTTTGCTGAAGACAAGCAGACTAAGGACATGGATTAGTGGAACCATGTCCTGTGGTCTGATGAGACCAAGATAAACTTATTTGGTCCAGATGGTGTCAAGCGTGTGTGGCGACAACCAGGTGAGGAGTACAAAGACATGTGTGTCTTGCCTACAGTCAAGCATGGTGGGAGTGTCATGGTCTGGGGCTGCATGAGTGCTGCCGGCACTGGGGAGCTACAGTTCATTGAGGGAACCATGAATGCCAACATGTACTGTGACATACTGAAGCAGAGCATGATCCCCTCCCTTCGGAGACTGGGCCGCAGGGCAGTATTCCAACATGATAACAACCCCAAACACACCTCCAAGATGACCACTGCCTTACTAAAGAAGCTGACGGTAAAGGTAATGGACTGGCCAACCATGTCTCCAGACCTAAACCCTATCGAGCATCTGTGGGGCATCCTGAAACGGAAGGTGGAGGAGCGCAAGGTCTCTAACATCCACCAGCTCCATGATGTCATCATGGAGGAGTGGAAGAGGACTCCAGTGGCAACCTGTGAAGCTCTGGTAAACTCCATGCCCAAGAGGGTTAAGGCAGTGCTGGAAAATAATGGTGGCCACACAAAATATTGACACTTTGGGCCCAATTTGGACAGTTTCACTTAGGGGTGTACTCACTTTTGTTGCCAGCGGTTTAGACATTAATGGCTGTGTGTTGAGTTATTTTGAGGGGACAGCAAATTTACATTGTTATACAAGCTGTATACTCACTACTTTACATTGTAGCAAAGTGTCATTTCTTCAGGGTTGTCACATGAAAAGATATAATAAAATATTTACAAAATGTGAGGGGTGTACTCACTTCTGTGATATACTGTAACAAGAGAGATGCTGTAATTGATACCTGGCTAACTGTGTGTAAACCAAAACACAGACTCCACAATCCAACCAAGGCACAATAAAACCCACTGGTTGAAAAGAATCTAAGCACTCCCAATGCTGTGCTGTATTCTGGCAAATATCTTTTTCCTATCCAGTTCAGCCTACAAATGTTTAGCCAGTCTATTTGCCAAAAACAAAGGAGATGATTCCTTATTTTTACCTTTTTTGTGTGGAACTGAGTTAGCACTGATGCAAAGCTGACACTTCTCAATGAAATAATGTGGGGGAGGATCTAGTTACCTGCTTGGTTAGGTATGTTGACACCCCGAACAGTTCAGCTCATTATCCAAATTCTATTTAGTTATATCCCACCCATTTCCAGTGATTGGGACTCAAGATGCCTCACAACAATAAATTCATGCAATTAAGCCATTCAAAAATATAAAAAGTTAAAATATTATTAAATCAGTTACTCCTAAAATTGAACAAATACCCAGATTAAAAACACTACTAATAATATAAAGAATAAAACTAATCCAATGTAAACTCACAGAGCCAGTTAAATCCCAAATGCCTGGAAGAACAAAAAGTGTTTGCTGGCTTTCAGAAACCTAATAGGGAAGGGGCCAACTTAGCCTCCCCAGGAAGGGAATTCCAGAGCCTTGGAACAGCCACTGAGAAAGCCTTCTCCTGAATTCCCACTAAGCGTGCCTGCAAGGGTGGTTGGGAAAAGGGATGGACCTTCCCAAAATATCTTAAGAGTATGGACAGGCTTGTATAGGCAAATACGGTCTTTATAGGTCTTTGTCAGCACTTTGAATTGTGCCCAGAAACAGACTGGGAGCCAGTGAAGCTGTTTCAGCAGAGGAGTTGTATGTTCCTTTGTAGCCACCCAGTCAGCAGTCTGAAAGCAGCTCTCTGAACCAGCTGAAGTTTCCAAAGACGCTTCAGAGGTAGCCCCACACAGAGCATTTTAAAATAATCCAAATGAGGTGTAACGAAGACATATGTCACTGTGGCCACATGAGACAGTTCAAGGAATGGGCCCAGCTGGCACACCAATTTTAAGTGGGCAAATACACTTCTGGCCACTGCCAAGATCTGGTTATCCACACTCAGGGTTGAATCCAGAATTATGCCCAAGCTGCAGATCAGTGTATTCAGGGGAAGTGTAAATGGAAACAGATGGCAGTACAATATATCAAGCAAACACGGATCTGTCAAGGACTGTACTGATCCTTCCCACCACAAACTAGAGTGGGCTGAGGGTTGCACATATGTACTGTTTTCATGTGCTAGGAAATTTCTTTGGTTGCAGAAGAACAGAACATAAGCACTATCACTTAGTAGACCAGGGATGGGAGACAGGAGCAAGTGAAGCAAATATACCATCACCACTTTTTTTTCCAGCTTAGCAAAGCTCCACAGTATAAGCTCCACTCCCAGACCATGGCTTTGTATTGTCTTTAGCATGAGAGCCTCTTTTCAAGCCAGGAAAAGCACAAATCAAGCACAGTAGTTGTGACAGGTCTACTTGAAATCTGGTCCCAGGAACTGACTCTAGGGGCTGCTCCTGCTCAAGTGAGAAAGTGTGTGGCTCAAGCAGAGCACTTCTTCCTGGGCTCAGCAGCTAGCAAAGTCTCTCTGTAACAGGTATAACAGGGCGGGCAGTGAGGGACGAAATCTCCTCTTGGCCCCAGTCCTTTATCCTATCATTTACTTGCAATTATTTTGTACAAAATCTCAAGTTCTATTGCACATTTAAGACTATATGGTTAAATAGCAACGCACCAAATACTAATTTCACAGAAGAAATAAATGAATTACTAATTTGTACCAGCTGTGAACAGAAAGAAAAATTTCATATGGTCTCCATCTTCTATCCACTAGAAGGCAATTATGCCTATTAAATTTGATCCATTTTATGACTACATCTTTTCAATGTTTTGAAATAGAACATTTATGTAATTATAAAAAAGGTTCTAAAATAGCTAACAGCCAGGAACAAAAATTTTCCAGCAGTAGTAGGACAGCAAGACCAGTAAAAGGACATCCACTAGTCTTCAAAATCTTCTTTCAAAAGCATTATGTGACTTCAGAAACAGTTGTTTTAATTTATCCAAACAGTTTAACTCTAAAGCTTAGACAAACTTTTCTGCACCATTTATATATTACGTAAGAATAAATATATTCACAAATGTTATGCATATTGGCCTTATGAACCACCACTAAGTGATATTTGTTATACCTTTTCTCTCAGCAGACAACGATCATGAATTGTAGAAAGATATCTATAGTGAATTTTAATCAACTGATCTAAATCTTTTGCTTCTTCTACTTGATGTTGAAACTCCAAACCTGTACTGTGAAGTATCTTTTAAAAGGAAACAAAATGTACAAGGATCAGACTCTGTATTTAAATGTTCTCTCTTTCTTACATTTCCATGAAAAAATTTTTATATCTCTATTCTCCAGGGTTCAGTCTTTAAGGTACTTCATGCGCTGTAGTTTTCCCTGCATTAGGCTATCTGGCTAGAAGCAACTAATTATCATCTGATATGGCCTCAGTCAAGAAACTGAATGATAAGATTAAACCAAACAATCAGTTACAAGACTCAGTGTACCACTTTGTAAGGCAACAGTGTCCTCATTAATAATAACATCTGTCATTTAAAAGAGACACTCTGAAATATATCTGGGAACTAGAAATATGTTGTGTATCTCCAGTGATCTGGTAACAAGTCCTACTCCAAAGAAGCTCCTGGGCTTTATCTTACCAAATTATGAAAGCAGTATTTAGGACAGAAATAGGTTGAGAAATGCTGGATACTTCGCAATTTCCAGTTCTAAGGACACTAATTTAAGGACATTCAAAATAGTTCAAAATGTAGGTTAAGGTAGCTACCAAATATATTACGTTCCACCTTGGCTTCTGTTTGCAGCACCAAAGGATTAGAGTGCTGACAAGAATAAAGTAATATAGGAGAATCAGTTACATTTTAATGCAGAAATGTGTTCTTTTAAAACTGAAGAGCCATTAACTGAAGATGTATATTGTAAGAGGTACATACAACTATTAGTTGAAAGTTAACTGAAAATGATGCATGTTTATCATCCAACATGATGGCCAAACCTATCTGCCCCTATGCCAGAAGCCATTCTAGAGTGCTAACAAAAGCTGTTAAATGTTTAATCGTATTGCAATTATGTATCACACACCCTGGTCATGATGTAGTTGTGTAGGCTGTTAACAAAATGCATGAGTTTCATCCTTAAAAGAAACATGCGGTGAGTTTGCTGTTTAATGGACTCCAACGGTGATCCAAACTGAGGAAGTGACTCTTGCTCAAGCACAGCTACTCCTTTATTCTGGGGCTTTTCTGCTGCCCTGACTACTTCTTAAGAGGAAAAAGCAATAGAATAAAATATCAGGTAAATGGCAACATTGTGTAAATGACCATTCTTACGCTACTACTATTATTTTAATTGAAAAGTTTAGTTTTCACATTCTTAATGTATTGATAAAAATGCACTGATATTAAGAATCTCTTTCAACAGCAGAGGATGGAGTTGCCCTGATGGAAGGATGACAAAAAACAGGACAGATAACAATCAAATGCACGGGAAGATTTTTTTTTTTACAACAATTACAAAAACACTGTAAATAAGAACCTAGTATTAAGTGGGTTTTGTTTTTGTAGTTGTAGACTATTTCACATTTTACAAAATTAAGAGATGTACAAATGTTACCAGATTGCATAATAACAGTAAACTTTTAACAAAATGTGTATGCTTGTTAATTTATATTTTTAGCAACCTAGGAAAAGATATTATTGGGTAGATTTCTGTAAATTTAGAAAGCAAATACTATGACTGCATGAGCTGAGCCAGTGTTACCCTGAGCATTTCAACATTCATGAAAATTAGGAGAAAGTTTCCAGCCCTTACGGATATAGAGTATTGTGTTCAGTTCTGATATTAGCAAACTGAAACATATCCAAATGAGAGGAAAAGGTGGCAGTGCACCTGCAGACTGAGTCACATGAGGAAGATTTTTGAGTTGCTCATGATTAGCAAACCACAGTTAAAGCATGGTGCAAGTTAACCACAAAACAACTTATAATTTAACCTGTTAAACTGTTGTTATCTGTGGACCAGATAATCTGAGTACAGATCCTTAAATAGACAAAATGGAATCATCCATTCATAAGAGGAAATTATCAAAAATTTCGGGGTAATTCCAAGGTTTGCAGATGTATTTAAAAAAACAATTCTGTAAGGACTGAGATACTTAGACAGTAGAGAATGCTGACTGTTGGGTCAGGAAATAGAATTGAATGAAGTATATTGGCTGTAGCATAAGGTTCTACCAGCTGTGGTAAAAGAACTTTTTTTCCTTTTCAATCCCCATCATTTTTGTTTGTTTATCTTTTTGGATAAGGACAGACCTGACTTTAATTGATTTATTCCAGGAATCATTTTTTGCTAAAAACAGGATTAAAATGCTATAAGGAAGGAAGGAAGGAAAGTAGGTATGGTTGGCTCGTACCCTGAATACGAATACTAATATTGCAACATTTTCTTGCATTTCCCATTTGTCTTTCCTGTTATTATTTTTTATCTGCATATAGATAGCCAATGCAGTATAGTGGTTAAGAGTGTGGGACGAGGACTCAGAAGTTTGGGGTTCTAGTGCCCACTCAGTCATGGAGCTAACTAGGTGACTTTGGACCAGTCAGACTCTCAGCCCAGCCTACCTCACAGGGTTGTTGTTGTGAGGATATGATTGAGAGGAGGAAAATTATGTAATCTGCCTTGATGTCCTTGATAGGGAAAAGGCAAGATTAAATAAACAAACAAACAAATACATAAAATTATGCAAGCCACCTTGAGTTCCTTGAAAGTGAAAAAGGTGGGGTATAATAAATAAATATAGCTTACAAATTGCTACAATAACTACTTCCTGTATCTCTTCCTTTCACTTTTCTTATACTTTTTCTCCCTTGTTCTTTTCTCCCTCTAAAGAATAAATGCAATAGAGAAAGTATCAGGCTTGTTTAGAAACTAAAAACTGAATAGCTATAGCCTATTTTAAGTATTCATTTATACTGGATGAAATGCAACCAGGAATCAGCTTACCATGAAATCGTAGCACATCTAGACTATATTTGGCCCACTTTATTTGTAATAATAGAAGGAACACTTGATTATAAATTTTTTGACATTCCACACTTATAACTATATCCACAGGCCAAGGAACCTGGAAAGAAAAAAAATGATTTTAGGTTTTTAAATTTCTATGTCATATTATTTTATGCTTCAACATTAAATCATAATTATTTTATGTTGATTGTTTTATTAAATTAAAGCTAATATTACCTTATAACTCAGTATTAAGCCATCCAAGGTATGAACAGGAAGCTTTTTCTTTGCTATATCAGTATTTTCACACAGTATAGACAGCCTGCATACAGAAACATATGTTTAAAAGTTTTGCTTGAGGACAATGATTACCAGGTTGAGATCAGCAACAGATGCCCTTCTCCGGGCACCCTCTGTGAATGATATTAGGAGGGTGAGTACCCGGAGGAGGGCTTTCTCTGCGGTGGCATCCCATCTATGAAATGCACTCCCCAGAGAGGTCCGCCTGGCGCCGTCGCTATTTGTTTTTCGGCGCCAGGTGAAGACCTTTTTATTTAAAACTTATTTTAAGTGTTAAATTATTTGGATTAATAGGATTTTAAATTTTTAGCTGAGAATGCACTGGGGGTTTTTAAACATTTTTTTAAAATTGTTACAGTGTTATTAATTATGTATTTATATATCTTTTGTGAGCCGCCCTGAGGCTTTGTTGTGATGGGGGCAGCATAGATGTGTTTTAAATAAATAAATAAACAAAATATTCAAAGTTGTAATACAAGCCTTTACAAATAAAATCAAACCAGCTACAATTACTTCTGCAGCTAATAGGATATTGGCAATCTAGGCTCACAGCAATAGCTTACTTTTAAACAAAGTACAGCAGGACTCCCATATCAGCTGTCTGTTACCACTGTTTCACTTAACCACAGTTGACCATCAGGACCCCCACAAAAGTGGAAAAAATACCAATATCTCTAGGGAACTATGCACACTTTTGGGGACACCACTCTCTTTGTCTGGTACTAGTCAGCCTCACTCATGCATTTTGTCTCTCAGTGGGTGTGAAGACTCTAAAGGTATTTGCACTATTCACAGCTTTTCCATTTTTGTGGGGGTCCTGCACCCCTAAACCCTGCAAATGTAGTGTTTGCTATTATCTACGGTTTCAGGCATCTGCTGGGGGTCCTGTACAGAAATCCTAAATACTTTCAAATTGTGTTTGAATTTTCTGAGTTTGGCTTTTTGTGAAAGGTTCAAACCTTCACTTTCACTGATGTCCACAGCAGGTGGATGTTCCCAAGCTTCTCTCATCTTTACATTTAACTTAAAAGTAGAATATGCAGAAGAATGTTACTCAGACGTGGTTTCATCAAACTGTTTTTCCACCAAGCTACACTACAGCGCATTCAAAATTCTATTCATCACACATTAGAGACCCGTCTCCTCAAACAAGCAAAGGTACACCTCCCCACTGCCACTTTCCCCACAGGTAATTTGCAGCCCCAGACCCATTTCAAAAACCCTTTGCAACTGAGCACTTCAGACTTCTGACAAAAGTGATCTGCTACTGCCCTGGCAGACCACTCTGTGGAAAGGAAGTTGGAGAGAAAAAAGGGCCTGTCCTGGCCACTTTTGACTTTGCTCCTGCAAATCTACACCCTTATTACCTTAAACTATCCTCTGGATAACGCTGTCCAACAGCTTCTTGAAGTTGGACATTAAGGAATGGTTCGCTCTGCCACGTGTCTTTCTCTCGTATTTTATCAAAAATTGATGTGTAGAAGTCATACATAGTATCACCGGCCTCAAGTAAGAAAAAGTTTCTCATTGCCTGCAAGTACTCTACCAACCTAAGCAAGAAACATACATTTCTTCAGATTTCATCATACTTTGTATCTGTATGATTCAGTTATTAAATGAAATCTTCCAAATGCAAGACATTAACAAAAGCTAGTCTGTTAGTTTACTAAACATATAAACAGTATTAAATCAGTATTAAATTCAGGACATGTAATTTCAAAGTAAAGTAACAGCAGATTTTCTACAGTTTATTTTGTCCTATTTTAAGGTGCTTGACCAATCTTCTCTTATCCCCTCACTTTCCCAGTCAACTATGCATCCCTCATCCAGTTACTGACCTCTGATGCTTTGCCGAACAGTCCATTCACAATAGTCCTTTTCCTAAAGTTTCGATCTTCCCTACCCTTACTTTCTTCAGACCTTTGTATTTCTTACCTACTGTTCCTATCATGTCCTTAAAAAAAAGAAAAAAGGCTGGTTTCCTTCCTGCAATTGCTAAGTGCTACTTGCTTACCGCTTAGCCACACTGCCTCTTCACTTGTGGTACGTTTCCCCAGCCAAACTGGATTAGGTATAAAATGACACAGGTGCTGGAGACCTGCTGTTGTTCAGAACAGACAATTTTGTGTCGGATAGACCAATATTCTGATTCAACATAAGGAAACTTTCAGCTGACCTCACACATTTAACAACAGGAGTTTCAGGCTACGTTCTAGAGCACTTTTGCCCATTTATAATATTGATAGGCATTCCAGGATACCAAAAAAGTTATACCACCACTGCCTCAAAAAATTGATGCTGATTTTAAGAATTTCCTTTAAAAAAATAGGCTGAATAGATTAAGCCAGTTTTCAAACTTGAAGCAATTAAGTACATCCTGAATTGAGTATCACATGTATTTCTTTCAAAAGACAAATCACATTTTGTGCATAACTCATAAATTGATGGGTATATGAAACTACATATTGAAACACAGTTCATAGCAAATATCAGACATATGTTATCACATTACTCATAAAATACAAATACTGACTTCTCAGATTAAACTAAAAGGAAACGGTCCTATGCCATGTAAGGAAGTATCCATCACTGCATACTGAAATTCCAAACCAAACCTTTTCTTGCAGCAATGCTTGTTTTAAACATCAGCCATTTTTCAGGGCCAGTGTATTTAAAAACTTACCTGTAATCTTTTTTCAAAGTTTGCATTAAATTCCCACAGCACTCTAGATATTGCTTGTCTATGTGAGGATAAAGGCAAGACCTCAAAGTCAGTTCAAATGTCTGGCACGTAACTGATTCGGATGATCTATCCATGCAGACATCATCACCTGTAAGTGTCTCATGAAAGTTACTTTGCTCCAAATATAATCTACAAAAATTAAAAAAAAATTTTTTGAGAACAAAATTTGCAAGATATAGTCAAATTTCTTATGGTTTGTGCTAAGCATAACCTGGAAAAATATCATAGATGGAAAGTGTCCCCTAAAAATTGAGACTAGATTATCACAGGGTTTCTAGCTCCATAGCTAGAAGTAGCTGAAGTATTAGGGAAAGGAAAAGAAAAATACTTTTTGAAAATGTCCTAGCATCTATAGACCTTGCACTTGGAGCCTGTGATGTCAGCAGTATCCACTGTGCCTAAATGTTTCAGTATAGGAACACTGCACTGATTATTATGTTTTCCTAACAAATATCACAGGTTTCTGTAGAAGCATTTAAAACTATACATGCTGAAATATCTCCTGGAATTTACCAATTCAAGTAGCTATGTTGAACATTCAAGCAAAATTTCAGTACACCAAAACCACCAACACACATATTTTGATGAAATTAGCAATAATACTAGTATTGTATTTATATGCCACCAGTAGCTGTAGAGCTGTAATCTAAATGCTTATACAATGAAAAAGTTATAATTAAAGCTAGACTTCATAGTGCTACAAGACCGCACCACAGATCTTTCTTCTTACAATGATGTTTAACTATCCCCCCACCCCCCGAAAAAGAGCCTCACAAACTGGAAAACTATTGAGACAATTTAAGCAATTTATCTATACTTTCTCAGATGAGCCTTTGCCTTCAGAAAGTTGCTACCATGAAATCAAACAACTGTGATTCTGCATTTGCTCTTTACCAGGTCCTTAAGATTTGCCACCTTATTTATTTTAAATTAAGGGGAAGACAATTCTAGCATATGGGCTGGGTACAATCTAAAGGCCTTCTGCAAGAGTCCAAAAGAGCAGCATATTAATGAACTGGAAAATTCCTTAAGAATTCCTTAGGCGGTACAGTTTTAATGCCAGTACAGATACCTGTGAAGTGAGTTAGAAAACCTAACGAGCAGATTCATCCTACGCTGAAACATCTAGGCACCACTGGCTTCAATGGAAAGGTTTTTTTGAAACTGAACTGCTGCATTGGGTGGGAAGGGGGAGGGAGGGCACAGCTGGAAAGATTAAATCTCAACACTGCAACCTCTAGTCAGTCCTCCCCACACTGCAATTAAGCTTGAAAACATCTTTCCACTGCCTTCACATTTAAGTCTGTCATGTTTAAGTTAACTGCCATTAATTTCACTAAGTCTGGATCCAGTCCTTCATCTTCTGCTCAATGTTTTTTTTACCTGCCCCATTATATGTTTTATGCTTTGTATTTTGCATGGTATCACATAGGTCACTTACAGACATCTTAGCTTAAATAATTTATTCTGTTTTGTATTTTAAGTTTATAACCTAACAATTGCCACAGCAGGCAGCAATCAGTATAATCAAGATTAATAATGTGTGACCTCTGAAGACTACACTGCAATAAGCTTCCTCTAGCTTCAGTTTCAAGTCACATTTGCCACCTGAATTCCTCAGTATGTGCCTGGCAGTATCAGATGCAGTACTTGACAGAATAGGGAGAATTATTCAATTATTTTGAATCTCTATTACCTTGCAAAATTGATAGCCAGCAAGGGATCATGAACATCATCTAATTCTAAATGTCTTTCTGCAATAGACTGCATCTTTATTAGGCTCTGCTTGGTAGCCTGCTGTTCTGTAATAATATCTTGAACAGGTTCTTCCCCATGCCGCAACCTCGACTGCACAGACTCCAGAAATAATTTGTACAAGCTCTTCCTTTCAGCATCTGAATCAGATAGTGAAATACAAAATATTTAGTCATCTAAGAAAACAGCTATTCACTTAAATTAGAACAAATAAGCACATAATAATTTAAGCCATTTATCCACAACAGAATTAAAGTAGCTATCTAGCAAGTTGTTCTGCTTTTCAACACTGGGATTCTCATACACAGTTATACATCTATTTACCACCCTTACATATAAGCATCCCTGTGCTGCTTATTGGCCTCCCCTGTTGCTGTAATATTAATCAAAAAGGAGGTATTACAATGATTTAATATATCACATTTGATCAATAACTGATATACCCTACTTAAAACCTTATTCAGCATATTCATTTTGTGTCTAGGCATCCAGGGATCACAAAAAGAACAATCCCAATCACTTAAACATACCTACATAATGAGTAGGCGGCGGGAGTTTGTTTTGCCCACAAAACCCCCCTCCAGAATGAATGCCTATAGTCTGTTAAAAAATTGAGACATTTCTATAACATTCAAGGGCAATATAACACCAATTCACAAAATCAGATTTTCATTTAACATGCTACTTTCTTAACATTACCACAGATTTCATAATTTGATGCTTGATTTAGTTTTGTACATTTGATTTGTAAAACTAACTTAGTTTTACAAAGCTACAAAAGTTTTGGAGTGCCAATGCATATTAAAACACTTCATAAAATAAAGATCCACATGAAAACAATTATGCGGCAATGGTCATTATAAAACATGCACATCCTCACCTACTCATATGAGATGGAAAAGGTAGGTTAATGGTCCATCCTTAAGAGACTGAATACTGGAAAGAATAATTTACCGTGATAAACACTATATAACTTTCTGATCTAACTACAAAGGTTGATAAAATGTCATTATTTAAAATCAAATATTATTGATTTTTAGTTTAAACACTGATTTTATCAGTGACAAATTTGGAGAGTTATGTTTGAAATTCTACCTACCTATGTAGGAAGATGAAGAAAAAGCTAATCTTTCCAATCCAAGCAACTGAAAAGAGTTTGCTAAAAATCAAAATACTATGGTAAATTTTCACAACAGAACAGCCATTTTTACCTCTTGATGCAGCCTGCTGAGGAGAGCCATCTGTGCACTGCAGGTTCTTCAACAACTGCATAGACTTTCCAGCCATAATTATTTGTTTTAACACTGGTTTCAAAAAAGAGACCATGGTGTGCTGTCTGCTTGAGGGTGCCTGATCACTTCCAGAACTAGCACTAGCATTATCACTCATTTTCTCTTCATTCTCTGTCTTCTCTGATACACTGTACAAAGTGTAAGTGGCATACCAAAAATCCCTATGATTAACTGGAACATTTTTGTTTCTGCAAAGGCAAACACGTAATTGTTAGTTCTTCTGCATAAAACTATAAATCGTGCCATATTAACCATATCTTCAAATGGTGTGAAGTTTTGAAAATAATCTAAGTAGAAATTAAGAGAGGAACACTAGCTTACAAAACTAAAGGCTGTGATCTGGTTTGCATGATTAGAGAAAGAAGACACCCAGAACCCTACAAAAGCCTATTTGTTCCAGGTGGGTTGTATCCACAGCAGTCACCATGGCTAGATTCACATGACACAATGACTTGCATTGCTGAGGGTGATTAAACTTATCCCATTACTGCATGTGAAGAGGAAAATAAGCCACTGTGGCTTATTTCCCCCTCTGCAAACCTGGTATATCTGTTGTTTCTGGAAGTACTGTTGAGTAAGGGATGTGCGATAAACAAATAGATAAGAATAAAGCTGCTTTGACCAAATGCAATCTTAGGAAGTTTCTACAAACTTTCTGTTTGAGAAAATACTAAGATTAGAATTAAAGTTTTACAAATTAGGCAAAGTAGGTGAGTCCAACTACTTTGCAACACACTGAAGTTTTCTTTATTCAAACGGAACCTCAGATGTATTTTGCTAACCATTTTATTAAATTAGTTTCCCAAATCAATTCAGATGACAAAAGAAACAATAAATCAACAAGTTGCTGCTCACATCAGTCCAAAGCAATACATACCTAAGCTTTCCCACACTGCCTAGAAACAAATTTTACGACTGCACAACAAATCAGCAGCTACCAAAAAAGTATCTTTAGGCAGTGTTCTCTGCTCTAAAGAACACCAATGAATTCAAGAAATATGTTCACTATCCCTACCTTTGAATTATAAATTCCTTAGCAGGATCAAATAAGTTACCATGGACAATCCATTCATCCACTGTCTGTAAATATGGCCTTACTGTTTCCACCCAGAGAGAAAACAAAAGGGAGACCTGAAATTAAATTTTAAAGAGGATGAGTGCGAATTCATTAAATTAACATAAGTCTGCTGTGATGTGTTTTAAAAGTACAGCAGCATCCCCTCACGCCTCACAGAGTTCTGCTCAAAAGATCTCTGATCTTTTGAGATAACACCTGTAACACAGGAAGCTGCTACCAAATTAGAGCAGCAAGAAAACTGCATTATGCAAGCAGAATGTCATTCATGATGCTTTGCAAGGTTCTCAACCAAACTTTGGATAGTTGCATACCAGCAAATGTTCATGCCATGACTTTCCAGGGAATGCCTGAAGTTGCATTTTTTTCCACCAAAACATGCAAAGAATTGTTCCCTTATGTGAATTAAATGTGTATAATGTTATTTCCAGCCTTAAGTATCCCACTCAGCTGTACACAGTTTTACATTTTGTAGCACTGATTGTTGGACATCAGGGAGACTCTATAATAGCTAATTATGTTTCCAAGAATTTCTAAACCAATCTTCAGTTGACTGAAGCAATGACATATTTTGCCTATAGAATTTAGAATAAAGTGAAAACTTCTGCATACCGTCTGCTCAGAGGCTTCTCCAACGTTGTCATAATCAAGAATGGCTTTGTACAGTGTATTAAGCAAATGAGATGCTCTAACAACATTGCGAGTGTCAGGTGGCACTTCTGCAACTCCAGTGCTAAAAACTTTATGAAGCACCTTCAGCTGTGCAAGTCGATGTGACAGCTTATCCATTACTATGGAAAGAGTAATTGTAGTATCTGCAAAACACAAGTACAGATGCCTATCTTATATGATTATTGCCAGGCAGCTTGCACTGACAACAGATAAAGGTTTATACAAAACTGTTATTGGAGTGCAAAGAATTTTACCTTTGTTGATTATGCACCTTTCTATTTCAGTAAGTTCCTCTTTGAAACTAATGAAATATTTATAAAGGGCTCTCATGAAAGCTTGATAGGTTCTAAATGGGGCTTCTGTAGATTTCTTGGGAGTGGATATGGTCCCATGTATTCCAGTTTCTGAACTGTGGCCCATAACTTCATCAATAAACTTTTGCAGCCTAAATACAACTTGCCCATATGCTGCTATCCTCTCCAGCATTGATCGTAATGAGTTCTACCAAAAAAAGGAGAATTTGTCAGTATTGTCTTCTAACAAAAGTTAAAGCATTCGTCAAGTCTAGAGCTATATACTGTTCAGCTTTTAGGAAAAAAGCCAGTTTCATCTTATTAACAGACCAAAATACAATCAGTTAGCATATTTTACATACAACTGTACTTCTGTGTGGCAAAAGAGTGTTCCCTTGCTTTGCATTTGATTATTGATTGAATCTAGTTTTATCACTTAAACTTACCTGGGTCAAATGGGTTACCATGATGTCATTTCTCACAGTAATTTTTCCCTCGTTCAGCTGAAATATAAAGAGATTTTTCACACCTGAAAGAAGCCTGTAAAACAAAAAGAAGCAAACAGATAAAACAGACTTTGCATAACCATACTTTTTAAATTCAAGTAACAACACAAGATATATGCTAGAAGACCCCAGATAAACATTAGGCTTGTGCAAATCCTCTTTTAACAGATGCCTTGGGCTTGTACCTACATGTTGCTGAACTGGTGGCACGCGTAATTATAGTGTTCTAGTTGTCCATGATTAGTTTTTGGAGAAATTGTGATAATTTTCCTCTGTAAGCATTTCATAAAAGGGGCTCAGTTTTACAGATGTACTACAAGGAACTGATCCACAGAATGCATTTAAAAAGTGCCTGTTTTTTAAAGGTTGTGGCATAATTCCTATAAAACTTATTATTCCTCAATCATTTATTCTGGGTAATATAATTTTCCATTATACCTCCCACTAGCAAGTGCCACACTGAAGTTAATGACACTTGCAAAAGAAAACCAATAAAGCTATGTCAGGAGCACTCCTGCAGCTATCAATTTGAGACACACAAGCAAATTCTAAGTGTTATTTCAAGAACAGTGCAGAGCAGCAAATTCTGCTTTATGATACAACAAGTGTCAATAACAGAATTGTTATTATGGGCTGATTTTTTGAGATAAGGAACAGTATTACAGTATTTCTGAATGTATTATTCATAAAGATTACAGATCGTGAAGATTATTCAGCAAAGCATTCAATAGTTCCCTAATGGTACCTTCTCTTGGCTTGTTACTTACCAAATTGTTTCCCGAATGACCTGTGTTTCAGTGACAAGAATTCTTTCTTCTGGCACATACAAGGGATCGCTACTATATATGTGCTGCTCCCTACAAGGAAAAATCATTACTATTCTTTAACAATTGGCATTTGGTGCAAAAGCACCAAACTTTATTCCTTGCACTCACTTCTCTTGCAGCTTCAAAATATTTTTGAAACTACATGTCAAAATAACACTTAGCTCTCATCACATGAGGGCTAAATGTTATTGACTCTGCATTCCTAGCCTTAAAAGTTATTTTGTTATATATGTATACCCCCGCCCAATGCACAAAGGCGTCTCAGGGAGGCTGACAAAAATCAAACCAGATAATTTAACAAGTTAACAATAATTAAATATACACACAAACCTGGTAAAAATTCACAAATGAAAGAAAATAAAAACACAATCAAAATCAAGAAAAACAATCAAAATCAATAAAAACAAAATAAAAACCAAAAATCAACTGTGAAATTAAAACCTGATTAAAATTCCTAACAATTAAAATGATGGTCAAATAAAAATTTTACTAAAATTGCAACATCCATATATTTAAATACTACATACAATAGCACAATTCAAAATGTTTGTAATCCTTCAAAATCTTTCATAATAATTCCAGAACTCAAAGTTTATAAGGATTTTACATTCTTTTGTATCATGTTATTGCACTCCACAAAATACTGAGACCATAGACCACAGGATAAGAGGAAGAACAGATTCAATGCAACATTTTATGTATGGTGACATTTGAAAAAAGTTATAATGGACTGATAGTCATTTCACATCCCTCCAATGCAAATTTTCTTTGCTACTTACCATACAGCAGCTAAATTAGAATGAAAATGCAAACTATGGGAAAAACGAAAAGCTCTGCCAGTCCAATATTGAGCAACTACATGTTGTTCCAGCCAGGTACGTGCATCAGGTTCACCTGCAGTTAAGGTATTTTATGAAACATTTTAGGACAGGAAAATTTTCCACATATAAATCAAATAAATCTAAACAATTTTAGATAAATTGTTCTGAACAATAAATCTAAACAGTGCAAGTTAGTATTACTATCAGTCCTATTCAAAATTGAAAGCTTTCATTTCAGGGCTTACACTAAACAAGAGCATACATGTAGGAGGCCAAGGTAAACAATCTCATCCTGTAATTTAGATGCTCAAAGACATACTGAAGCAGGTATAAAAGTGAAAATCCACAAGCCAGAAACAGAACTGGTTAGATAATCATGCTTTATATTGTTTCTGTTTGACCAGAAAGTTGATGCCAAGGAAGGCCATTCCTTATATTCTAAAGAAGACTTGCAAAAATTATCCTCCCTATGGAGGCATCTTAGCACAAATAGTGATGGGGACAGTGGAAGAGAATGTCCAACAAGAGACTGAACTGGATTCTATCACAAGTTTGCATGTCACAACAACCTACCCTCTGAATAAGCTATGCGGAACTCAGGAGATCTGGATTCTAGTCCCCACTCAACCATGAAGATGAGTGGGTTATTTTGGGCCAGTCACAGATTCTCAGTCCAGCCAACACAGGGTTGTTGTTGTGAGGATAATATTGAGAAAAAGTAAAGAATCATGTAAGTCACTTGAAATTCCTCGGAAGGAAAAAAGGTTAGATATAAATTTAATAAAGAAATCAGCCCATGTTACACCCAACAGACAATCAGCATCACTGTTTGTGTCTGCCCTGCTTCCCCTTCAGTCAACCTATAGTGATGGCAAGCACTTCTCACTTGCTGTAGGGTTTTTTCCTTTTGTTTTCTTTTTTTCCATAGATTACTTTCTGTGATCTCTGATCTGACAACTAATGACAATCCTACAAAGCGACAAAGCAGCACATTGGAGAGAGGCTTGCCACTGGTTCATCACTCTTCTTTTTTTACACTTTACATGAATAAACTGTTGGCACCAGGCACACCTCTCTGGGGTGCATATTCCAAAGATGGTGTGCCACCTCCAGAGAAGGCAGCCATTCTCCTGATCTCCTTCAAGGAAGGCTCCCAAAGAAGGAACTCTGACCCAGATCTTAGGGACAGGCAGGGACATATGAAAGGAAACACTCCTTCAAATACACAGGTCCTGAACCATTTAGGGCTTTATAAGTCATCATCAATGCCTTAAATTGAGCCCAGACTTCAACTGTGGTAGGTGGTAAAGGACTGACGTTATATGCACATTTCTGCTGGTCCCTGTTAACAGCCTGGCTGCTCTATTCTGAACCAACTGAAGTATCCAAACGGTCTTCAAGAACAGCCCCATGTAGAGCGTGTTACAATAGTCCAATCGGGAGGTAAGTAGAGTATAGAACAGTATCGCTAGGCTCTAAGTGATGGACCAGCCGAAGCTGGAGGAATGCGTACCTCACCACAGTAGTCTCCTGGAACTCCAAGGATAACTCTGGGTTGAGGAGCACTCCCAAACTACACACCCTGTCCCTTAGGGGGAGTGCAACCCCATCCAGAATAGGACAGTCACTGCCTCACCTGGATTAGATGTAAAAGAGAGATAGAGGTGGGTGTTATCAGCATACTGGTAATTCCTTAGCCCAAGCCTCCGGATAACCTCTCCCAGAGGTTTCATGTAGCTGTTGAACAGCATGGAGAATAAAATGCACCCCTACGGAACTCCATGGCATAGCTGCCATGGCACAGAGCCATAATCCCCCTGCATCATCACTATGCTAATTATACGTACCCCTGCTTTTGTCACCTAACCTCAAGGAAATATTGCTTGGATTTGATAATGAGCAGGATGTTGGTAAACAGGCTGAAGTTAAACCTAGTCAAGATTAAATGCTGTTGATCAGTTTAAAAAAGCCTGAATCAGGGATCAGTTTTCAACCTATTAATGCATTCCAACTTAATGATAAAGTCCATAGCTTGGGAGTGTTTCTTGAACCTGGCTGTTCCTGGATCTTTTGGTGGCAACGGTGAAATGAGTTTGTACCAGCGACAAGCTTTCCTGAGTTGGTCTGATCTGGCAACAGTTATCTATGCCTTCATTGCACTGCACTCTATGGTGGGCTACCCCTAAAGGGTGCCCAGAAGTTTCAACTGGTGTAAAACGTGGCCACTAGGCTGGTAGCTAGTATACAGCATTGTGAATTTATTATACCTATCTTGAAGTAGAAGTATGGGTTGACAATTACTCTCCTGACTCAATTCAAGGTGCTGGTTTTAACTTTTAATGTCCTAAATGGCCTGGAACTTGGCAATCTAAGGGATCGCCTGACTCCTTATGCACCTACAAGGAGGTGTTCAAGTATACCATTACCTAGAAAAGTGAATTGTTTGAGATTTCTCAGATGTCATTCCCAACTATGAAGTATGTTTCTTCAAGAACTGTAATCAATTCCCACTCTCCTATGTGAGGACTTTAGAAAGTGTTATGAAGGCAGAAATGTTTAAGTCAGCCTTTTCAGTGATGCAGTTAATGTATTATTGCTTTTAATGTTCCTGCTTTCCATTCTTTAAACGTTTCATTGTTTCAAACTGCTCTGCATCACCTTAATTGCGTTTTAATAAAAAGAACAGTGCTAAATATATAATTATGATTAGCAGAGTGCCAATTTTACATCCGCATTGACCCAGAAAATCTGCTATTGATTTCACAGATGTCCCAGGGTTTTGATGACTCAAGCCCTCAACAGCAAAAATGACGACAATGTTTATGAATCACTTCTCCAAGGGAGTAATTCTGTTCACATTTAAACAGAAATAAGTCCTACAACTTCTAGGATTTCCTAGCCAGCATACCTGGTTATTGAATGTTGAGAGTTGTAGGCCATTTTTTCTATCTAAATGTGTATAGAATTAAACCCTAAGTAAATAAAGGGCCATGAAATTGGTTTACATTGCCAGCCTGATTTTCAAAATGATACAAGCTTTTATAAAATCTAAAGTGATTGCAATAAACCAGATAACAGTAACTAACACAAGCCAGACTGATACAAATATCCTACCAAAATGAAGCAAACAGAAAGCAAACCTTTCCAGGTGACCTGAGATGCTGACTTTTTGTTCTGATCCTGATCTTCTTGTGGTGTCCTATCTACTTGAATACCAGAGTCTTCCCTACTCAAAGGTTCTGTATCTTCTTCATCATCACTTATGTCAGACCATTCCTATAAAACATTAACATAAGTTTTTTAAAAAATGTCAGACAAATGGACAAATAGTTCATTCTACTATTTTTTTTAAAAATGGTAACACAATGTTAGATTGACTGCCACTGTAGTATAGTGGTTAAAGTGCTGGATTGGATCCTGGAGGTCTGAGTTCTAGTCTTCACTCAACCAAAGTTTAATGGGTCACTTTGGGCCTCACGCTGACTCTCAGTCCAACTTAGCACACAGGGTTGTTGAAAGGATAAAATTGAGAGGAGGAGGAAGATTATGTAAACTACCTTGAGTTCCTTGAAGGAAAAAGGTGGAGTATAACTATAGTAAATAAATAAAATTGCTTTCTAAATAAAGTATGTTACAATAAGGTTTAGCATCTAAATCAGATCACAATTCAGCATATTCATAATGGCTTCCTTCACAAGTTCTATTAACAAACAGCATAGAAATATGATTATTATTCCAATATAGACCAAAAGTTCCATCTAGGTTAGGATACTTCTAATATTGGTCAAGCAAATGTCACAGAAAAACTTGCCACAAGAGCCTGATGATAGTAATTCGATCTATCATGTAATAAAAATCATCCAGAACATGCAAATTCCTTTCTTAGCCATTATAGCAAATAGCCAGATTAGACCTATTCCTAACAAGAGCCTGGGGACAGTAAGTGGCGCAGTGGTTTAAAGCACTGTGCTGCTGGGCTGGTTGATCGAAAGGTCACCGGTTTGAATCTGCACAATGGGGTGAGTTCCGTTGCTCCGTCCCAGCTCCTGCCAACCTTGCAGTTCGAAAGCATGCAAATGCAAGTAGATAAAAAGGTACCCCTTCGGTGGGCAGGTAACAGCGTTCCGTGCACTTCGGTGTTTATTCATGCCGGCCACATGACCACAGAGACTGTCTGCGGACACATGCTGGCTCCCTCAGCTAGGAAATGGAGATAAGCACTGCCCCCTAGAGTCAGGCATGACTGGGCTTAATGTCAAGGGGAAACCTTTACCTTTACCTTTAACAGGAGCTTAGTTGCACTTGTACTTTTACAACAGTTACACTGATTCAGAAATGTTACCCTAATTCAGGTACAAGCAACTTGTGGCCCTCTGGATATTCTGACCCATCATGCCTCACTATTGGCCCAAAGACTTGAAGGGCCATAAATTGCCTATCCCTGGTTTAAATTATAGTTCAACCCTCTGAACTGCTTTCCAGGCACAGGAATTTTTTAGCGAACCAGAATCTCACTACCATCAAAACAGTAACAATCCTCACCCCAGCCTACAATTTGGCACTATCAAAAGCAGAGGGAACAGCAGCTCCTTTAGCCTGTATGCTATGAGATTTTTTAGAACCACAGAAGCAACAAGGGAGGGAAATCCTACACTCGCCTTATACAAAAGCTTCAGCATTCTGGGAAATTTTTCTGACAGATGTCTATCCAAACTACCAGCAAACAGAACATGTCACCAGTACCACAAATACAGTTACCACTGCTATTCAGAACTGCAAACAACAGGTACTAAGTCTCAAAAGAATGATATTGAAATGTAATGGTAGTCATAAAACAATATATCAATGGGAATGTAAAAACAAGAAATAGGACAAGGGTATTTCTATACTGGCAATCGGTTTCACTATCAAAAGTGGATAATGGCCAGTTTGAAAGGTATAGAAAATGTCAGTTTTTGACAATGTATCCTGTGGTTTTATAAAGCCTCGTTCTGTATTACTTACTGGTGTTTCTAAATCAGGGCCAAAGTCAAACTCTTCACCTTCCATTAAGTATTTTCCCCAATCAAATTCTTCTTTTTCTAAGGGAAAAAACATACATTGAAAGCTATAATTACTTCCTTTCAACTGCCTCTTCAATGACTCCCATCACAGACTGAACAAGTGCAGGGCTGAGAGATTTTGAAAAAATAAACAGTAGTAAAGTTTCAGTGCACACAGATAACCTAATAACAACTCACAAAATAAAACTTGATACATTTTTAGCAAATATGTTACATAAAACCTCAGAAGTATCAGGTTTTCCACTTGTTTTCTGGGATACTATCAATCTGTGAATATGTGTAATATACTAAAACCTACCCACTTCTTTCTCTCTTGGCTTTTCTGCATAGCTGGTGTTGGAAGGTGAATCAGACAAGCACAGTAGAAGAGAGAGAATTGCATAATGGTTATCTGTCTAAAACCAAAAGACAAAGAAGGAATTCAGCAAAGGAAAAACATTTGTTAAGAGTTTAAAAAATAATCAGACTAGGATTCCAGTGCAGCAGTGTATTTACAAGGGCAAAATAGCAGCTTCAGTTTATGATGTAGTTTAATAGGAAGAGGATAATAAGATACAAAACCACATAGGATTTTTAAAAAGCAATGTATATACCAACATATTTCAATTGGCAGAGATATCCATTGCATAATTGCTTTTAATCTCCAAAAGCTGATTAGGCTCAGATAAATTTTACTGGAATTTGCCTTGAAAGTGTGTAACTTTTCAATCAATTCATGATCAGGACAGTCACATTTCTGAAATGTACATAAAATAATTGCTGCCTTGAGGGCAAACAGCCTTGGCAAGGATGCAGAAACTAGAGAGTCCTTTGTTTTGCCAAAAGATAAACTTATGCACAAAATTAATCATGTGTAGAAAATGACTTGCAGACTATAAAGCTCTTCATGTCGCAATCTTAGATTCACTAACTTGGGAATGAGCACCACTGAACTCAATGAGAAATTCGTATGACTGCCCTGTGGCTGATTTTCCCAGCTAATGGAAAGATTGTGGTTTAGGTGGTCCTCTACAGAGATGTGAGTTCTCAATGGCTGTTCTACCTGGTACTGAGCAGCAAAAGAAAAATCTGCAAACTTTTCCAGAGAATCTCTCCTCCAGAAATCTCAAACCACACTGCCTTTCCCCCCTTTTCAATCTATTATTACGTATGTCTGATAAGATAGCAAACTCTCCTGCTATCCTATCAAAAATCTTCCAATATTTCAGTAGAAGATTGTAGTACTATGTGTCTCTAACTGGCATTAATATTATCTAATGGGATACATGTAAATAATATGCAGATAAACAGAACTGTGTGTGTATGCATACACACACAACTGCATAACAGTGTTTCAGTCTTAAAGATTGCAGCAAAAATGCCTTTAAAAACTGATCAGGGTGCAAATTGCTTATTGCTACAAAGTGATCAGCATCAGAACAAATATAAACATTCCATTTGAAGGCAATATTCTAAAAATGCAATACCTTTGTTCCTTCAGTGGTTGGAAGAGGCAAATTCAGAAATTTTTCTGTT